GCTTCACTAATACAAATTGATACAAATAAATTCAACAGCATCAAATAATGATGCTGTAGTTATAGTAGATATATGAATAAGTACGGAACATGACCTTCTACATTACTACTGTACAGATTTCGCAGGCTTCAACATTTCCAACTTTGACGAAAAAAACTGAAAAATAGAAGAATTAATGGCTGAAAAATACTGGTACGATGACGTATCGTTAAGCTATACTGGAAAATGCACTTATTTATTTTCGTAAGTCGTAGTCTTCTGTTGAACGTCTCACACTTCTATAGTTATGAAATAAACTATACGGACTGAAGACAATGTAGCTTAGATAGCACGAATATGTCAAAGAAAAATTATTTAGCTCGGAAAAAAAATAGTGACCCACATCAAAAACTTCTATCGCACATAAGAACTACTTTCCCGTAATATGAATAACATCAACTAGTACAAAAAATAGCAGATGATAGATGACAGAACTCTATTATTCGTTCGTTCGCAAAAGAATTTTTCAGTAAAGCATTCTGGAATTTTCCAATGGAGGGTTGCAAATCCACTAAGCTAATATTTTACATTTTGAAAAAAAAAAATGCTGATTTAGGATGTAACGATGGTACCATATAGCCCAGCAAATTCTCAAAATCCCTCTACGCCTTAAAAAACATTAAAAGCAAAAAAAGAATAATAACTATATGATTTCAACAGAAGGCAACAAAATAAGCTACTAATTTAAAGTAATTTTAAAAACTGAGAAAAAATGGTATGATGATATAAATTTATGAATTGATTTATACTAGAAAATTCCGATTCTAATCCAGTTTTTAAAACTATGAAAAAAGCGGAACCATATATTATTAGAAGGTGTAAATAAAAGCTTCTGAGTATAATCAAAATAAAAGGACGAATTTTGAACAGTTTGTGCAGTTCAACCTCGGTGGAGGAAATCAAGACAAGCGTGTGAAGTATCCCAAACATGAACAAAACGGAATTAGCACACTGTGCATTCAGTAAATTTGTCCCAATGAATGTATCAACTATTGCTAATAAGCTGATGGAAAGTTATTAATGTCCTCAGTTTCACATTCCACGGATCGCCCCATATAAAAATATCTGCTTAATTACTGGGTATTTCATTTACCAAGCAGTAGAAAAGACGAAACACTACCATTCATAACAAAAGTACGCCAGATCCAACAAATGAAAAACAGAATTGGAGAAAATAAAATCAATCAACACTAAAATGAGGAATTCGTGAAGAATAAGTCCCACCAAGTTGACTTTTATTTCACATTACGCTTGCAAAACCAGTTCATTTCAAGCCACAAAAAGCTTACAAGGTATCAAGCTATTTATCTAATAATTTCTACCAATTAATGAAGTAATCCTAGCAGAACTTCTTATATAAAAGAATTCAACAATCACATGAAAATTTCTAAATAGCAGTAACACTTCACAGAATCAGCTAAAAAAAGAATGTATAGCATATATCTGTTCAATTAGAACGGATGGGTACTTAATTTGTGATATAATTAAACAGTGGTTTCAAGACTGGTATGTTCCTCGACCTCATACAGTCTTTCACTCAAATCAAAAAATGTACTCAATTATTTATATAAAATTGGAATCTCAAAAATTGCAAAACTTTAACAGTTCAAAATAACGTAGGAAACGTTATTTTGAAATTAATTTTCAATAACGACCATTCACAAAATTTTTGAATGGGATGCAAGCATATTTTAGGTTCTTGATTAAAATAAGCAACAAGAATCTTCCAAATTCAGAAACCTGAAACAAAAGAAAGTTCTACGGCTAGCGAAAACTCTTTATTTTGCATGATTTATGCAAATGCAAAACTCAGAAACTATCAAACAAAACAGTTCTCAAGTTTTTGCATTCCCAGTATGCTTTTTGAAAAGAAATATGTAAGCTCTACAGAAATTTTTTAAATCAGTTGCTCAACAAAAAGAAAAGTTAGTGAAAAAAGCATTCAAAAGTGCAAGAGGAATATCTAACTGTAGAAAATTCAACAAATATGCAATTTTTCAAGTTTATTTTTTAAAAATCTATTACATGCAAAACTTGAATTAATCCATATAGTCTTCACACAAAAAATCTAAACTGCGAGGAAAGAATTAAGAGCACTACACATTTATCCCCAAAACAACTCTATTTTATGGTAATATAAGTTTCAAAAAACTTTTTGCTACAAGTATTCTATGTGTAACATTTTATAAGCCCACGCCGTTCCACAACCATTTGGCGCTAGCTTTATAAATCCACCTCAGTTGTGTGTGTTTATACATCGTGTTACCTTTTCTAAAACAAAAGAGAAAATTTGACATGAAACAGTAACGATTTAGTCAAGAAAACAAAAACCAAACGATTAACTCGACCATGTTAAGGATACTCAGTGACAGGGAGAGACATGACGCCAAAACACAGTGCTTACCTGAGCTGGAGATATTTGCAAGTCAGATGGCTTACGCAATTTCGAGAAAAAACTTCGGAACCCAGTGCCACCAGATGTGGGTCTCGTGGCCGCTGAATTGCTCATCTGCAAGAAATGGTTACAGGTGAGCGAAAACCTGAAAATTCAAAACACAACATACGAACAGCAACGCAGATTTCGCTTTAACTGAAGAAAAAAAAAGATTAACATTTCAGATGTTTATTAGTCACTTTATCCTACACGAACTACCTCCCAAAAATTTGATTTTTCTTTTCATTTTTGTTAACCTATTTAGAAGTGAAAGTACGAGGAGGAAGGAATGTGCTACTAATATTTATATTACACCATTCAAACTAACCGAGTAAATAAACTCCTATTTTACAACCCGTCGACGATTTTTTCTTTGCTTCTAATGTATGTTGATGCAATAAAAGCCTCAGTATTAGCTACACAGCTCAGCTTCTAAGGAATAATATAATTAGAAGTTAAATCAGCAGATTTATATATATATATATCAATTTTTAATAATCATTAAATCAATGAAATGATTTCTGAGAACAGCGCTGTGTGCAACAATACACACTTACAACAGAAAAACATATACCACACAACTGTGACAGTTGGCGAAAAGATGAGTGATGGCGACACAACTCGAGTGAGCGCCAAGGAGGAACTCAACTTTTTCTGCTCCTTCATGAAGTTGTACTTTGCATTAAAATCAATTTTTCTGTACTGCTAATAGGACCCACATTTGTCCCGCTTTAAACATGAAAGAATGAAAATTTTCACAAGTTCAAAAATATCGGCAATATGGAGTACGGATTAGCAAGATGAGGGCTATGCGGTTTTGACATACCTTGTCTCTATTTGTATCTCAATACGCTATTATGCTTAGTGTTATAGGTGGATAACCATAATGAAAAAAGGTTTTAGCACAAGTCAGCACATGTTTTCAAATCAGTTACAGGTTTCAAAATCTTTTAAAGCAACCTTGCGGCTCTTCAAAACAAACAGACATTATAGGACGTGTCAGTTGGGACTTTTTACACATGTTAATGAGCTTACCATGACAATTAACAACAAGCGAAGAAAGCCTACTTCGAATGCTACAATTTACGCTTTGCAGCCCTAACTCTAAATATAGTACTCCTCTATGACAACCGAAAATATTTAAATTTGCTTCCATAGTGCTTTCATTAGAGAAACTGAAATCGGTATATTCATACAACTTATGAAAGTTCCACTGGACAAAATAACGGAAAACAATATAGTTTGGCCCCGAAAATAAAGCGATCTGACCTGATTCTTCCACATCAGCTTATTTTGGTCACCATTCAGTAATAGTAACCTAAAATTCTCAACATGCATATTACAAAGCAATTGAGCGAAGAGTTAATAAAACGACCATATTATTGAAGTAAAAATCACACCCACGTACGAGCTTCAAAAAACCCACAAAGTCCAGCCCACCAAAGTGAAAAATTTCGCTTTTGTTACTCATATGTTATGCATATCGTTTCGAAATTCTAAGAAAAACATCACTGTTTCCCTTTCTCGTGATTAATGAAACTTATAAAAGAAGTGTGGACGATTCACTTACCTAAACCAAATACTATAGATTTATTCATGAGCATGATATATGTATATAATAAATGAGTTTAATAACACATAAATATTAGATCCACTATTGACCATTAACCCTCATGAGTACTACTGCATCGTGCTCTTTATTCTCTCCGCTTTCGAAATAATCATTGTGGGAAAATCCGTCGCTTCAAACTGTGCATTTCTGTAGAATTATATTATCAATCTACAGAAACACACAGTTTGAAGCAATGAATTAAAAAATGAAGGGAATCAGTCCTGAAAACTCAAACTCTGTACTTGCTTCCTGTTGTTCAAATTAATGTAACGAGTACAAGAACTTGACCATTCGCAACAAACACCCTGAAATGAAAGATATGCATCGACGCAACACAGCAGCTATTGAAGAAATATAACATACATGGAAAAATTTACTTCAGAATTCGAAAAAACAACAAATTTTGCGGCAATAATTTCTATAAGAGCGTGATCACATTATATTACAAGCATCTCTAACTCGATACCATAACCAATACCAAAATTTTCTGTCAAATTAAATCATCATATTTGCAATCTATAAATGTACCCATATAACAGAAAAGTTGAAAATCTGAGCGTACTTTAATGTTATCACTTTAAAACACGATACGGAAAAAACAAAGTTCATCGGTGGATCATTCATTGATTGCAACTGATAAAACCATTCACAGCTAAAATTTTTAATGTGGACAATTTACAATTTAATCAGTTATGATATTACAATTTATTGTTTCTCCACTTTCTGTTGAAAATGTACTTTTTAAGTTGAAACAAATTTTATTGCAACAAATATGTGTATTTCATATTTACAACAAATGATAAATTTTCAAGACAATAATGCCTAAAGGACTGCCAGAAAAACCTTTTTAATTGAAATATTGAAAAGGAAAAAGTAGGTAAAGCTACTAGAAAAATTCACGACTAACCCTTATTTTTATTCTGAATTCAGGTCTCTGCTGCTCAACCGCAACATCTCGATGAAACTATCGAAAGATTCGATTTCTTCTTTGCTCCTGTTCTTCAGTAAGCATCGCATGCCTACAATGCATGGATTTTTCAAATATAAATATCTAATCTACATTGACATATATTTCTGAAAAACGCTGCTAGTCATCAACTGTTATCGACTACATGAATGCAGTGAATAGTTAGGCTGCGTTATAGGAAGATCTTTTTTCAATCATTAGGATTTTGAAATCAATTTTAGCGAAAGAATACACGAACAAAAGATTTAAGTCTGTCCGTTAGACAAGTGGTCAAACAATAATGCAGTGAAAAGCGAAATTCAAAATATTAGAAGAATACAGTTTATATTCTCTCACGATACGTAGTCTTCAGCAAAGATCATGATGCATAATTCATATTATTTCTTTCTCACCGATATCACATACATTAGACTTTAAGGGAATCATGGTCGATCCTAATAAGGTTACCAATATGAACAGCACAAACGGCATATCATGACAAGATGACTAGTCCTGAACTCCTTATCTTCAGCCCATAGCACCTTTCCTTACGTTAAAACAAAATCCGATAATTTTTAAAAGTTATTACTCACACAAATATTCTATCCACAGCGCCTAATCCATTTAATGCTTTAAATGAAATATAAAACAATTTTATTATCAATCTCTTGCTGCTTTTAGTTTTTGAAGTGTTCCACCTTACTTCAATGAAATCTGCTTTTTCCCAGCATAACATTATCACCTTTTAAAAAAAAATAAAACAATCGACAACATTTTCTGACAAAACTTCTACATAAAACTGCTCTTTTCTTCAGCTTCCAAATAGTGAAAATGCTTCAAGAGCCAATATAGAGTTGTTAAAATGAGCAGTTTAAAATTATAGGAATGCTACAAGCCATTAACATCGAAAATGGTAACTGGAACTGTTAGGTTTGATGGAAATTCTTGCAAGAGCTATTAAAATGAGCGGTTAATTAGTAGTACTTAGATTCACCCTCAGAATTTTGTAAGTATCAATGTGTGCCAGCTAAAAACGCGGACTGAATCTGAATAATAAAGACAGGATGCAAACATAGAGCATATGCCGTGAAAATTCAACTCACTATCCAGAAGTACATTAAGAGGAATGGCTGGCATTATTTATGCGCTTGCCTCAGGAGGCTCATATTGCATTGCCAACGACAGATGTGCCACATTAAATCATACAGATGACTGGACGTATACATCTGAATGATCCCGGATCGTTAAATATATTACAAAAAGAACTCTCCCAACACATGCACTCAATATCTCTCTGTCACATCGATTTTTTTTAAGAGCTTAGCAAACAACGTCGTAAAATTGTCAATCAAGCTACTAATTGGCATAATAAAAGATACCTGTAAGCAAATGTAACCTGTTTGGTCCATATAACTCACTTGACTTTTGTGCTAGTTCTATAATAGGCAGAGAACCGTCCCGAAATCTCACAATCAACGTTGCATATTGCGAAAGCTCACTAGTTGTTAGACACTTTGTCAACTGAAAAGGAAAAAAAAACGTAATTAAACAAAAGAAATCCTATAGAAAAAGAGATAAATCTATTAGATATAATTATGCAATTCAACTCTTATGTTCCAAGGAAAATTTTAAGTCGTATTTGTGCAATGCATATTGGTTAGACATTGCGTTCTTTATTCTAAAACTATAATAATGCCTACAGCACAACTTTTTTGATAAATACTGTGCAATACTATTATGTTTAGTCACACTGCATTTCTTAAGTCTTTGGCAGTCTATCTGATCACTGACTTTACAAAATTAGAAATTCAGATAATAGCACGATGCAGTTTGTTAAAGCAAATTAATGTAGAAAAATACAGTTACAGTTCAACAAGCAGTTATTAACCAATGCTCGTTGACGTTATCAGCAGATGTCCACAGAATATTAAGGACAAACTTTATATTTGCAAACTTACCACATTCATATAATCTTCTATGACATCGTCAATTTGTACCTCTGCGGATTCACTGTGTGAAGCAGCAGTTGAACAAGGAGGATGACTACTGCTGATACACAAATCTTGATATGATTCTGTTAAGCTGTAAGTATTTTATGACAGTACGAAAAAGCTATTTATAATCTCTCGATCCCGCACTTTATGAAAGTTTCTGCTTCCACAATAACCATATACTGTATAAAAATTTACATCTCTGTTATAATTATTACTCAAATAATGTTGTATTTCAGGGGTAATGAACTTACAATAATGGACGACGATTATAGACAGAAGCCGCGGAGGTAATTGGCATTTCTGAAATTACGTCTTTTTCCTTGTTTTCCTCAAAATACAAAATATTAGCGTAAAAAGTCAATCTGGTACAATAAGAAACGACGAATGAATATTTTTAGAGCCAATTTATTTATTTTGGGCTACAGATTTCACTCAAATTAAATGAAGAAAACTTAGCAAACCTTTCGAAGCACTCATTTCAAAACTACTGGCAACTTCTTTGTAAACTTGAAAGAAGAATTGTCCCAGGATGTTGCAAATTGTTTCCGCTACATCCTGAATGAAACATTAAATCTATTCACTTGATGCAGTTAATTAAACATTATTGCAAAATATTTAAAGAAAAAAGTCAACCGTAAAATCGACCAAATTTCGGTGAGAGTTGACTGATTTAAGATGAAGTGGGACATTCTGTATTTTTCAACCGTCGTTGCGATTTCGATATACAAACCATGATAAGAAAAGATTATTATATGTGATTTACTGCCTGCATTGAAATCGCTAGAAATCTATACAGAAAAACTCACAGATTTCAAAAACAGACAATTATAGGAAAAATTACTGCGGTTTCACAATATACGACAGCAAGGTCAAAGAAGTCACGGTTCCGAGCACTGCTGTATCCCACCCTTACAGGAAGGATGTATTCATGAGCTTCACGAACAAAACCAACAGATGCAATCAAGTGAATAGGTACGTAAAGCAGAAGTTCCTAAAATAAACTGCACTTCAAATTGAGTTTCAAACGTTAATCCTATAACAATATCGTAGTAATCTTTGAGATCCACAACTTTATTAGATATTACTCACATCATCAAAGACTGAGCGGACCGTTATGGAACACATATCAATTTGAAGGACTGCATTTGCAGTAAAGTTGTTTTTTTGATCAAATGATGTAATTTGTTTCCTGATCTATAATGAAAAAATTTCGGTGCCGAAAAGTGAAATAAATTCAAAGTGAAGTACCATATTCACATAAATATTCAGTTTCAAAGTTCATACTTGTTCTACGTCGTCAACATCACCATTTTTCGCTTAGCCCCTTGCAAATGAAGAAATACACAAAAAATGGTAATGATTCTCGAAATAATCATCTTACTTGCAATTTAAACTTCTAAATTTCTTTATTTCCGTTTGGAACTATAAGTATAAACGACTACTCAAACACTTCGATGTTCTTTCGAATTTTCAGAGCAGGATACCTTAGCACGATCCAGAATTTTGAGCAGATCAGTGCGTCCGCTAGGATCGATGTCACCACGAATGTCGCGAACCAAACCAGCATACTGCAAAAATAAGCAATTGTTTACCATTAATGATTATAGGAAGACACTCTCAGTTACAGCCCACAAAACAATTTTTACAAAAGCAGAACTACATGTGAGTCAGATTTACAACTCGCAAAAAAGTGATAACCTATAGCCGAACTCTAACTTTTGCCTTGATTTCGGCTCATTCGATTTACAGAAGTCCCATGAATTCGCATTATCTTCTTACATATGTTTTTCACGTACTGAGAATGTTGATATTTGTAATGAATATCAAGATCTCATCACATATTAGGTGTGCGTGAGTGCCACGATTCCATTCTTGTCCGTAGAATAGAATTCAGGTGACTTCATGAATCACTCGATAACGTTATCTACTGAAGAAACGGCTGGAACTCCACAAAAATACATACCACAAACCAATCCAAACACATCTCCAACAATTATCTTCATTGGCAACTTGAATTCAAGCCCATGGGGTACTGTAGTAGGATTGTAGGTGCACCTGCATAATAGCGGGATTGTAGGCGGACCTGTACAATGTCATCTCGGGAGGTCCGGTATCCAGGTGGTAGCTGCTTATTTGTCGTTAATTCACTCTCATACAGGATATATTTGTCTATTTTAATGCTTTTTTTCTTTCAATTTGTGTACTTCTTTATCGTTCACCATTTCCTTCCTCGTCCATTCTCCATTTAATCTTATTTATGGCTTGAAACTTTTTATAGACCACTTCTGTCTAATTTTTTTTTTTACTTCATCCAGTTCCGGGTTTTTAAATCCCAAGTTAAAGGTACATGAAATAGAAATAAAAAATAAAGCAACAACGAAGAACATCTAATTTAGTTTGATACTCATAGGATGCATTGCATAAAAGCTTTCATTCCTTTTTTCATAGAGCCTTAGACTGCAATTGGATGAGATCATTTGCATGAAAACTGGAAGATTGATAATTCGGTTTAAAACAAGCCATTTATTTATTTCTTCCACTCTTACGAAAATTTCGCTGCTATAATCGCCAATACAGCAAAGCATTAACTTATTAATTTAAGAATAGCGACAATGACCAACAATTGTTTCAGGCAATTTTTAAGCCAAATAAGTCCCATTAAAAATTTTTGCAGTTTCAGCGTAGGAAATTTCTCACAATAAACCGAAAATGAAATGCTATATAATAATTTTTCAACCAAATGAACTCAACAAAAATATTGTATCTGCAAATGACAAACTGTTCGATAATTATATCTAAACAATTCAGTTAAAATAGCAAAATTCGCAGCTAATTTTAGCGAGAATAGCTGCAGGAGAGCAATAAGAGAGCTGATCAGTCATTCAGGTTATTTTCACCGGAAGCAATGCTAGAGTATAACACTGAGTTCATAACGCATCTCCATTTTCATTCTCAAATGGGGTGATCTATTTTCCCCTACTTCTTACGAACTTCGTGCTCCCCAGTTCATGAAATCGATAACGACATCTTTAAAGACAGAAATTCTTTAAACAGAAAATCTGATACTTTCATGTTTGGGATAACTAGTATAGATTTTTAGAATATTTAGAGAGAATATTTTGAGAATAATAAATGCGACAAAAGTGGTTCCAACAAGTGGTATAAAAAAGTACGGATGGAAAAAGAGTGAAAAGACTGTAAATGTAGAACGAATTGATTGATACATCTTGCAAGCAAACAATTGAAAACTGAGTTTTGTGTCAGTTGCTATAATGATAGGTCAATAACAGGACTCAGAAAACAGTACTTGAACTGCTTTCACACTTCAATTATACCCGATTAGTAATAATCTTCAACATGCGTATTTTTAAGCTACGTTGTGTTCGTCCCTATTGCTACTAGTCCTCTTCTTTAGGTGATCTGATATTCTGCCAAATTTTGAGCACTTAAAAAATACTCCGTGTTACCTCAAAAACTATTCATCCATCAATTGCAAAGCAGAAAAATATTTCTTATACAACCTAACTTTGGCAGTAAATCCACCCGTAATAATCCGTATCTGTACTATTTCCGGAAGTTTATTGATTGACGCGCTATAAATCGGATCCTCCAGTACCCCCGCCCAATGGGATTTTAGTTCTTCAGCAGATAAATGATGACAACCGCTTCTATAATTTCATTTTTAGAAAGAAAATCAGAGTTCTTCTTATTGCAATATTTTTTCCCGAGATGACCCTCCGTTGAATAAACAATGTTCGGAGGTATAACACTGAGGAAGGAAGAATAGAAAATGAAAGGATTACAAGAGAGAGGCGACCACTTTCGAACAATAAATTTACCTGGATTTGAAAAGTTGACGGACCGCCATCATCAGTGTAGCGTGCCCGTAGCATTTCTGGGTATCAGCGGTAAATGACACTATAACGAACGACAACTGCAATAAGTTAGCTGCACCGCCCCGTACATTTCACGGGGACTTATGTCGATCACATGCATACTTAAACATGCTCATACACACACATACGCACACACACATACGCACACACACACACACACACACACACACACACACACACACACACACACACACACAGACACCTATCACCGCAAACGCCGTTGGACAATTCGTCATTGAGTACTGCGTTTGGCAACCATTAAACGTTTTTTGTTTGTGATATCACCTTCAGTGAATATTATCGTTTTCTCTTTAATTTCTGTAACTGCTAGTTTTTTTTTCGGCTACAACTAACTCCAGTTAAGGAATTTAAAAAGCACTTAGAAAGCGAAATTAGAGTTTTACATTGCTTATAGAGAGGCGATATGAATTAAACAGCAAAGCATTATTCATATGTTTCACCATCAGTTCATCACTGTTGTAAAAGGAATTTTTTCTAAAAAGACATAATCTTTACTCCAAATGAGGGAATTTTCACTTTGAGCACTTTAGATACTGATGGTTCTCGGCACATGTATAATCAAAAATTGAAGAAATTTTATATCTTTGAAACTATAGAAACTTGAAACTGGTTCAATCCGTGAATGCCGATAACAATAGATTAACAATATTTCTTTGACTTGATTGGTCATAGTTACGATATTTATAGCAAACTAGTCAACAAAACATTCAGAAATTCAACGATGAAGTTACATTGTTTGAAGCTCACTCACGAAGTTAGTACATATTATAAAAATTTCTTGAAACTCATCATTTTCGATTGCCGTCTTCTCGGAATTTGCAAAAACATATATTTTTTCCCATCTGCATATTTAACTTATTTTTGTAAGTTATGATTTAGCATGTAAGCACATACACCAAAACACCGATGCAAATACAGAAAAACAACAAAAAACAATTTTTAATGTAATGTTCTGGATCTTGTTCTCAGTACGATCTGAATTGCAAAAACTGAGCTTACCGTAAGTAAGCGGATAAACAGATCTATTCAACTTAATTTACAAATAAATTCCAGATAAATGTAAGAGTTCGAATGAGACGAATCAAAAAAAGCGCCGAACTATGTCTGACCTTTGGCCTTCACAGTTCATCAGCAATTGCTCCTTTTGTCAGTGGTAACGATCACCGATTTTGTTGTCGAACCGCCCCCTGTATCAATCGAACTGATAACAAATACTGGTCGTATTTCAGTCTTCATTTTCTCTGTTACGTTGCGCTGTGCTTTAATTACGCTCTCATTTTGTTTCATCACTCCCTGCCATCTCGCTACTTACTGGCAGTGTACCCAACACACTATCACCTCACCCTATCACTGTACACTGGTAAGTCGACATCCACGATACAGAAACTCCTGCAACAGTATCACACACCGAAATCCCTAACAGAGAGGATGGTACCACCAACTACCCATCTTCCTCCCTTATTACTCAACCTCTTAACCTCTTCCTGTGCGTCCTGAAGCAGCAAACTTTGGCATCCATCCAAAGCTCGGAAGTTTTAGTGAGAAGTGGTAGGTGTGATCCGGGATGCGGGGCTTGTCAATAAAGTGTGGCGGGGAGTTTAGCCGAGCGGCGTTTGGAAAATATTTACGTTTCTATCCGTATGGGTGTAATATTTTGCAGTTTAGCTTTCAACCACGTGGTGGTCATACCAGTGTCTTAGATGGTAACAAAGGAGCAAGTTCTTGCTGCACCGAAGATAAATGTGCAGCGATTTGTTGAAATTATTACCTCACCTATATTTCCGGAGCAGGAATCTAAGGAATGGGTCCTGCAACATCAGAATTTCGCTGTGCAGGTAATTCTCAGGTTCTCGTCATCGAAAGAACATTTTTTAAATTGCTTGTATTCAATTTATTTGAGCTCTCAAAAGGACTTGTTAGTACTCATCTTGATAATTCAGATTGAAGTGGAAAATAGGGATCATAGCATTTAAACCTTTAGTCTCGCAAGGCTAATAGTTATCAAGGATTTTACTGTTATCGACTACATTTTATTGTATTACTTCAAACTAAACGTTAAAACAAAGCATGTTTTAGGCGTGCTTTGCCTACGTTTTTGTTATTTTTGGAATAAAATATGTTGTCATGCGAAATCGGGCACCTTTTGATTTGACACTGCCACTAAACATTTGGAATGCGCTTCTTGCATTATTCAGCATTATGGGGACTGTCATGCTTTTCCCGGAATTTATTGGAACTATTCAGAATAATGGCTTTCAAGGTTTTTTTCTCATGATTTCATGACTTGAAGCGTTTTGAAACCTTCATTCTTTAAGAATTCTTAAATATTTTTACAAAATGGTTATTCGTGAATCACAAAGCATAGAAATTATCTAGTGCAGGAAATTTAATTTAAGTTGCTACAATGTTTCTTGTTTTATATTTGCAGCCTCCTACTGCAAAGTTTATGGTTTCACTAAGGGATCAAACGGTTTCTGGGGTTGGCTTTTCATTATATCAAAGCTATTTGAATTAGCTGATACCGTATTCTTAGTTTTGCGAAAGAAGCCACTTATGTTTCTTCACTGGTACCATCACATCCTCACATTAATTTATGCTTTCTACTCGTATCCGCATACTCCTGGATTTAACCGCTGGGGCATTTTCATGAATTTCTTCGTACACGCATTTATGTACAGGTATGTTATGTACTTGTGTAAAAAAGTGGTTTGTTATCTTCATTAGTATATGTAACAGTTTGTTGCCATTATTTACTCCATTATACTTTTAGCTACTATTTTCTGTGCTCCATGAAAATGTCAATTCCACGTGGTGTGGCCATGTTCATAACATCACTTCAAATCCTACAATTTGTACTCAGTGTATTGATACTTGCACATCTCGGAATATTAATTTATGTGAGGAAGGTTTGTTACTTTGGTTTTTCAGATTCGTGTTTGTTGGGCACTTTCAAATTTAAAAGAGGTAGTTTTTTAGGTGGATTGTGATTTCGATGACAGCATTTTCAAATTAGCGCTCTTCATGGATGTTAGCTATTTAATTCTTTTCATCAACTTTTTCTGCAAAGCTTATGTATTCGGTGGTGGTAAATCGAAATACAAAATTGATAACAAGAAACAGTAAAGCGCTAACACTTTTTTTTTTTGTTACTGGTTGTGTCTGAACTATTAGTGAATGCTTTGAGCTAACCATTTTCTTTGCAAACTGTAATTTTTTTCTTAGCATCTTAAATATTTTGTTTTTACAAAATCATTACGTAAACTGTCAGGAAAAATGTCCCCATTATATTAGATATTGGTCGTGCTGGTTTTGCTGCTGTTTATAATATTGTCTTGTGTCCATTCGTTAATTCCTGTTCCATTTGCAGCTATTCTCTTCACCTGAACGTTGATTCATATTGTTCTTCTATATCTTACAGGTAATACAAACAGGGTATGTGATATGATACGTTTATTCCGTTTTTTATTGTTTCAAAATTGTGTAACTATAGGTCATCCGAAATATGGTCATAAACTGGCTTCAAAAATCATAACTTCCTTGTTGGCATTTCTTTTTTCATTATATTTCTTTTGAAATTCGATGTTGCTTTTAGTCAGCCTCGGTAACTGAAATTTCCATTCTGATATTCATGAAAATCACATATATTTTCATTGATGAATACAAAAGTGGACTCAGGTCGGTATCCTAATCGATACTAGTAGCACATACTTCTCCATCTCATTGAAATCACAATATTATATATTGGAACATTCATTACCTTAAATATTCTCAACACCGGTGTTTCTATATATTCTCAACACAGTTGACTGTTACTAGTAATAAATAATTATGTGTTACAGTGATTTTTTTTGCTAAAAGTTGCAAGCCATTTCGAAATTTCAATTTATTTATTGTTAGAACAAAATTCTGTTCAATGTGGTAATATATATGGCGACCAAAAATTCTGAATAGGTTAGTAGTGACTGAATTTTTTTATGGCTTCGTCGTAATTTGGTGGCGTTATGTCCGCATTGTTGTTTGTTGTTGTTGCAGTTAATGTTTGTTGTGCCACTTTTGTGTCAATCATCTATAATTAATTGCGGAAGAATTTCAACACACTTGCAAAATAAGATTCGCAGTCAGTATTATAAAGAGTGGAAACCTGGCAGGGTAAGATTTCTCGAATTGGAGGTCACTGAAATCACCTGGAATATAAAGAGCTTTCTTTCTTTACTGCAAGCAGATCAAAAATACAGAAATATTCTGGCTTTTTCTAACTCCATCAGCATACGGGATGGCACGTTGATTGTTTTAAAGCTATCAGTTATTAAGGAAGAAGTGAGCAATTAACGCTGACAAGAAGGCGAATTTGGATAGTTAAATACGGTTATGGGCGAATGCCTTGCTCCAATTTCGGACTGCTAAAAAAGATGTAGGCGGATTTACACTGTGCAGTTAATGAATAATTTAAAGGTGCATTGATTGGACGTTTTTGCTAAATCATTTCCCTGGAAGAGCCAAATGCTGATAGAAGTGATCCTTGACATCTCGTGATACAAAAATCACGTTAATTAGTTTATCCTGGAGAGCTTACAAAGATCGTTGCTTGGAACAATTTTTACTGTTTTTTAAAATTACTCTGCAACATGAAACAATTGCTGGCTACCATACTAGGAAGATTACTTGTTGAGAAGTAAGTAGCTTTGGAGTTTTCTTGATTATGAAGTTCAGAATACAAGCAGGAAACACATTTTGGAAAAAATTTGTTTCCTTGGTGAAATTCCTTATCTTTTGATGACAAAAAACTTGAAGTCCAATCAAAGAATCTTAATCTCTTGAGTACGAAGGAATAAATTCTGTCGTGTGATGTTTAATTTATCAGTTGCCGTATTTTATTTCCAGCAAATGCGAGTTAGTAAATAGCGGATTTAGATATAGCTATCCATGAAAAGATTATGAAAGAAATGTAATTTTGGCTTTTATATGGATTGAAAAAGGATCTAACCGTGTAATGTGGATAGGCTGACATAGTACTATTGTGGTGCATTGAAGACCATAATGATTCATTTTCACTGCAGCACTTGAGATCATGAGATAGTACAGAAAAACATGGAAATGAAGTAGCTAAATTTAACGATAACTCCTGAAAAATTGATTCTGAATTAACAAAATATTTCTTAGTTTAACTGACTAACTGTTAATTTATAAATGAGATGCTTGATATCTGTTTACGAATTAGCATAGGAACTTTTCAGCACCTGTTTTATCATAAGTTGCCGTTTTTATATGTTCGTTTACAGTGACACAGGAAACTCATAAGTAAGCAACATATTAACATCCAGCTAAGCTGGCGATCACTTGAACATTTCATCTATGTTACCTGTAAAATTTTTTCCTAGTGTTAACCTCATTGATTGATTAAGATTTTTGCAATTTAAACATTTGATTGTATAAAATGTATCAGTTGGGAACAAATTTAAACGATTCAAGTAGATGATGACTTCACTGAAGTGAAGTCATCTTCATCTACTTGAAACACATCGACTCAATGTAAGTGAAAATTAGAACTGCTTTAGAACTGATTATTTGTAATATAAGCTAAAAATTAAGACGAGTATACAGTAATGTTGGAAAATTGGAAAGTAGTAAAATTGTGGAATAAACCGAACCTCCAATTTTATAAAAATGAAAAATACACCAATCATTGTAATCAACTTGACATCTTCATAATTTTTTGGTGTAATTCTGGAAAAAAAAGGAAGAAACATTCAATTACAATATTAAATAAAGCATTCGGTTTAAACCTGTTTGTTAAAGATAAATTAATGCAGCGAAACAAGAAGAAATACAAGGTTCCCATGACACCAAAAGTATCAATAACTGGAAGGAAATACTCAGAAGTGCAACTTCACAAATATTATTGGCGCAGAAAAGTAGCTGCTTGAGATAATAGTATACCTGGGAAAAAATGAAAACCGTTAAAGAACACTGGAAAAAAGCACCGGAAGCAAGAAAGTTTATCCGTGAGATTACATATATGGGAGAGAAGAAATATGTACATTCCTCCCGATAACAATCTACTTCACCATAATTTAAGTTAAGGGCGATTATAGAATCGGTCACTCATCATTTGATAAATATTCCATTACTTGTCACTTTCCCTAGGATTGTCACTATTTTTTGTTATCAGTATATGAAATGCGATCATTTTTCTCTCTTCTCCCCCTTTACATTTTTCATTCTCCTACCTTAATCTCTCCTTCCCCTTTTCATGTCATCCATAACGAGTACAAGTGGAAGTGGGCACATTACAAAAATTCTTACATTAATGCTTCTTACACTTCCAATTTTACTTGAAACTTTTATGAACTATTAACAGATGAGCATCTCTTTCTCGTAAAAACAATCAACTTGTCACTTCAAATAATTAAGAACATAAAATATTTGTCAAAATAGGTATTATTTGAAACATTTTTAACTGTCTAAATTTGTTGTTTACATCTATTAAAATCATATAATTAAAATCAAAAAGTATTTATTTTGTACTGTAAGGAAGTAATGTGTTCTAATAACAAATGGCACTGTAGTGTAAGTTACATTTCAAAATTGATTTAAAAAGAATAAAGTAAAAGATGAAGAGACCTTTTCTTTCCAAACTGTAGTGACTGGAAAATTCAGAGCCATTAAACATTATTGTGCATATCAGAGCTAGAATATTTGATATAAAAATTTCCAAAGGTGTGATTTCACGAACCGTTCAGATCGTTCAGTTCGCATATGGTTTATTTGAATACCTTTCTGCGAATTGCGAAGGTAGTGTTTAACAAGTTTTTAAAATCAGAACTGAAAGTCTACCACATGTTCAACGTAAACAGTGAAAACGAAGGCTTATTAACAATTAGCCAAAAGCTCTCATTTTAAAAATTATCTAAAAATAATGTAAGAAACTTTACCATGAACCAGTCGACAAGGTTGCTTTACTTAGCAATAAAGATCATAATTTGTAAGCAATTAACTGTTTAATTGCTGAAAAAAGGGAAACAATTCTTATGTTTATTAAACGTTTTGTTCATTCTATAATTTTAGCATAAAAACTCAATTTTTAGCTTAAATTTTTGCCCACAACTTCTATTGCCTAAGATCGTATTTGATAATTTTGCCAAATCAAACATCTATTTTTTCCCAATCGAAATTTTACAGTATATACAGCAGTTTTGATATTTTAAACTAAAGATTGCACACTGGTTCATTCATAATTCTTTGCTAATGTTATGAAATATATGGACCCTTATAGACTCTATTTTCGACACGAGATGTTACTATTTTTCTTGTTTTCGAAATTCCTAACAAGATGAAAAGAATTACGCACTGATAAATTTTGATCCTCCATATTCAAATATATCAGGTGTGAAACAATTGATATTGGAGGGAAGAATTCGAGGATTTTAGTGTCAACAGTAATATAAGAAGTTTCAAAAAAAGTAAATTAAAATTACATCGATAAACATAAGTGGAAAGTTGGTATTATGTTTGGATGGTGGATAGTGCTTCATAAACAGAACTGCTTCATTTCGTCAAAACAATACTGGTTTTCGGAAATCACAACGAGACCTCACTGATTGATTTCATCGGAAATAATACTCCTTACTTTCTGTTGTGTCAACCTTCCTTTTCCTGATCTCTCTCTCTCTTTCTTTCCCTTCCTCTCTCCATTCTATTCCTTTACCTCAGCACTACTTACCGTTAACAAATACAATCTATAATTTATCTACAAACATAATGTAACACATCCACTCTGTAATTCATTTTAGAATTAAAGCAAAGGACAAGTTAGTTGTCACATTTTACCACCAATATCACTAGAATTATTCAATTATAACAAGTAAAACAGCAAAAGCATGAGAACCCAAATTTGTTTGCACATAAGCAAATTCTACAAAAAGAAAATTCATTTTTGAAACCACTTTAAATTTCTGGCATTATATGATGTTAAAGATCATCATATATGGTTCCATACAAATAGCAAAATTCAATTCCTGGCAGTTTTTTTTCTAAAGCTTGCAAAATATTTCCGAGTAATTTTTAAATAAGCGATACGTCACTTAATGGAATACTCTGTTAAAAATAATTTCAGAAAAACCATTTCACAAATAATTTCTTCTTCAGCTTTCCTGGATCCTTTTCTTTTTTTGAAATTATAACTCAGTTGCTTCAGCTAATTATTTTCATTTCACTTCAGATTGTTATACTTAATAGTAATAAACAGCCTATCATTATGGAATATTAAAAGAAGTGTTGGACTACACATTTTACGCATTATTTTTGGAGTTACCTGCCCCTACGGCAATTTCGCAAATTCTATTTTCATTTTACAATATGCTAGGCTGCCCCAAACAACTGCGTTTTTTTGTCCATAACGCATGAATAAATTTGTATAAAAAAATTTTTCCAGACAAATTCAGACCGATATACTAGACAACCATAATCATTTGTATTCTCTAATCCTTGATATCGCTAACTAATCACTCCGTATCTCGACAGGGATTGTTCAAAATTTGAATTGTAATGAAGCCTCCAACCTTTTCATTTCATGCTTTCTACATAAAACAGGAACTGGTAGCTTCAGATCATAACTCAAGTCATTAAGAAAGCATTTAATAGGTAAATTAAATGCTTTCTTTAAAGTCAGGATCACATCAATTTAGCATAACAATAAAATACAAGCACCACCGGGGAAAATAATTTCTTCGTATATATACAAAGATTAAATAACAAAAATTATATAAATAATTACAGATTAAAAATGATCACATGAAAATATATGAGGTAATCATCACAAACAGCAAAAGTAACATCGAAGTAAACCATTCGCAAAATTCTTCCACTTGTTAGGGAAAATAAAGCAATGAATGCTATATTCTATTGAAAAATTTCAAGTTTTTGCAAAAAAAATTGATTTCTGCAAACAGAAACATGCGAATGGTAAAAGCAGCATCCATTTTATATTATTATTTACAACAAATAAATTAAAAAAATGAAATATTTTTGATATCGGACAGGCCCGCAACGCACCCATACACTAGGATATAATGACAAATAACGATATTAACAGCATTCATCCCGTAAATACATAATTTGCAGAAGCGTACAAATAACTTTGCTGTTATGACACGATGCACTGCAATGAAATCTATTTGTTCTCAATTTTGGACTAAGTTTTAAAAATTTTCAACTGACCAGTTTAATCAAGTTGTTTTATTTAAGCCAAGATGAAAAGGAACTGAAGTCAATTGTGTCTTTTAATTTGCATCCTTCTTTAACAAGCATAAATTATTGTCATTGTATACACATTGACACACATCAAACAACTCTTGCAAGTTTTGCAGATGTTAATTATCATAGTTAAAGCTCAATTTCAATTCACTTACTACAAGTTTTTCGGCTTATTCCTTTTCTGCTATTTTTCACAGATATATTTCATACGACGTAGATAATACGATTGTAAATACGTATGACACATCAAACATCTTAAAGTTCAATAATTAACTGAACAAAATCTGATTTCAAACTTTTGACTTCAGTAACAGTCACTAATAGTTGTAAGTGAGGATACGCATTTAACAGTTAAGAATTAATCTGACAAAATTTAGAGGCTTACATTAGTTAGTAGCGATAGAGTGTGAAGGATAATTAAATAAATGCTACAATGGTAATTAATGTCTTTTTTGACTCATAATGAGGGAGCAAAAATCAAGTAGTGAGCGCAGATAATCACAAAAAAGTGGAACCTGGTCAATCAGTTATCTAACAAGCAACTGGATAAGATAAAAAACCAACTGACTGAAATCGCTTCCTACATTCTGCAAAAAAACACCTCCACAGCGCGTATTATAAAAGCGATCAGAAGAGCGATGAAAGCGAAAGTTGAAGTAATGTTGCACAGCCATTTCCAGCGCAGTAATTTTCCATAGCATTTTCTGATGTTCTCGGATAATGAACAATTACTGGAAACTAAAGGATCACGAATATACTGATGTCTACAGCACATCCTCTTTCTCTTAACTGATGATATCAATCTGCAAAAATATCATTACAACTACTAAATATTTATACCTTTATTTTAATAAAAAAAAAACAAACCTGACCATCACAAGCGGTTAAAATCATAACAAACCGTTTTGGGAATCTGATTAGCCGTAGGTTTTCTCGATACACTGAATAGCTTGAAGGAGTGTAGAATCGGAGCTTCATTTTTTTTTTTGCCTTTTTTGGTTCCATTTTTAATAGCCATCTTTTTCCTGAAGTAGAACTCAGTGCGCTGGTCAATTTACAAATATTAATAACTGTACATTATGTACCGGCAGTAAATTATTGCTATTACAAAAGATGTGTTACGTTATTGGCTATAAGCATTACAACAACCATTAATATTTAAAAATAATTAAGTTCATTATTAAAAAGTGTGTTGAAATATATCATCATCTGTTAGAAATATTATCTGACTGGGAATGATATTGTTAGCAACTACAATAATGTATCTTCCGAAGCACTTCAAAGTTTCGTATGTCACATAGACGGAGAGACTGCTCAATAAAAGTTTTCTTATGGTTTTGTTGACAAGAAAATAACTGTTTAAATTAATTACTATATTAACTTTTTTTCTATTAACTATTTTATACTACGAACAATATGAAATTCAGGAAAAGAAAACTAACTATGAATATGGACTTCCCATGGTTTTGTTGACTGAGGATATGTTGCCAACTTTAAAATGTCTTCATGACAACTGCAAAATTAGGATAACAGGATGTGGGATAGATATGGATAAAAGTGTAAGAACTGATGGATAAATCAGCATGAAATAAACGACGAATATGGCAATAAGTACTGTATGTAAACTTAATAATAAAGGGAATGTAATATCACCCATTTACTATATCATTTACATCAAAAATAAAGGAAGTGGTCCTTCTCATAAGGGACCGCTTTCTTCACTTTTAAATCTTTTTGAGTGTTTACTAGTTGTACAGCCACAAATGTTGTCATTTTTTTTTGTGACGAACATCTTCCTGTACTTTTACGATGTCACTACAAGCAGATCTTCTGACGGCTCATTTAAATTCTTACCATACGGTTGCGATTTTTTATTTCCATCTAACAAAATAATATTTTTCATCTAGTATGCTTTCCAATCTCAACTTTCTATCCACCATCTGTGCTCACTTTCAGACAATAGTAAGGATGGAAAAATTCACCTGGACGTATATGATGATATGCTTTGTTGTCCCCAGAATGCACATCGCTCCAATAACTGTTTTGAAATGTTAAAGGGAGTTTCTTTAAGATCATTTGCTAATTTTTCACAAGAACCTTCCATCATAAGTGGATTCGTTTGATTACTGACTAAGATGGAGAAGGAAATTTAGTTACTGCATTATAAAAGTAACATGGAATCACACTTCGTTTCACTTTCTTTCTTTGGTGGAAACTTAACGTCCACAGCGAGCTATTTCGACAAAAATTTCAAGTGATGAAAATAGACTTCTTACATTTCAAATTCCTACTATCCTAACAAAAATGTTATTCTGATTTAAAAAAGCATACTTTCCGTTGCAGCTATTGAAAAAGACTGAGCGAACAAATTGCGGTTTTTAGAAAATTTGGAACACTGCGTTGCTGTCGTTTCCGATCTACAACAATGGGAATTCATCAAATCAAAATTAAATGATATATAAGAACACCAATAAATTAAAATCGTTCATAACTTTTTTCTAATCGATATTTTGCTATAAGGACATGAAAAATTAGTGACACTTTGAGTTTCGAGAAAAAAAAAATTACAAAGATTAACATTAATAAGAAAACCTTGTAATCAGTACTGGAATTTTGCTGTTGCTATGACTTTTTCCACGAACATTATTTCCTTCGTAATGAGAGAGATGTGTTACAGAAAAAGAACTTTGATGTAATGTATCACTTTGGTTAATTTTCATCCAATTCTTGACATCGCCATAAATTTGTTCAAAACATGGATTCCATACTTGATTTTTAAGCTTCTGTTGCGTAACGTCATCATTTCCAGCAAAATTCAATCGGTTATTTCTGGAGCATCCCACCACATTGTCGGTCAAATATTCATATTGCAAGTCGCTACTAGTATTGATGCTCTGTGTAAACAATAATCCTTCCTCAAAACCACTCTTACTTTTTCTACTCAAATGATCAGTACTGTGATTGATTCCAACTACTGTTGACAATTTGCAATGTTGATACGGTATATTGTTGTAAATATAAGACTTTGCAACTGTATTAGGGGTGATAATGGAAGTTCTTGGGATAACAGCATGCCTCGTAGCGTGCGAAGAATCTTCTTGAATACATGAGATACTAGGAGTTGATAATGAAGACTGGTATAAATTGAGTGAATACTGTTGACGTAAAAAATTCAAAGCAAATAAATTAAGTGCGAGATGGTTTTGTTGCGACACATGCTTGAATAACGTCTCTGAATCTATGGTTGGTTGGCTTTTTCTTTTACCAAACCGCGAGCTTTGGGATAAACGAGTGTGCCGCCATTCGAGTTTGCTATCACTCTTCCAAGCGCGCTGCGGGCCCGTACGTTTTTTGAATGTGCTGATGAAAGCCTGAAAAGAAATGAGAAATTTTAAGAGTACTTTGATTAGGGTTAACTACTAATGATTATTTTGGAAAACACTTCTCTCGGTGTTGTATTATTTATGAGGCACTACTCTTATGACTTGCCATTTACAACATGCCTCATCCATATTCCAGTGTCCTTTGAATGCAGGATCTGCCACAAGTCGTTAGTATGTACCAACATTGGATATGAGAAATAATAACAAAAGTAGTAATAACCTAGACAATGAAGAATTTCTAGACATCGACCAATTTGAAATAGGAAACCGGCCAATTTGATTTGAATCTCGCAGCACTGGAATTCTTGAAATATCAACAATAAAATTTTGTTCCTGTTCTTCATCACAGAGTGAGAAATTAACGGTGTCCTGAAACTTCTGGAATCTCGAAGAAAACGTTCATATTTCTTGTATGGAATAATATGTTTTCAAAATGAATATACCTGTAAACTAATTTCGACTTCTGAAGTTTCATATAATTTTGTTCGCCTTTCTAATTTCTCCAGTGAAGTGAATGTTAATACATTTTCACCACAAAATCGCAGAACCTATGAACATCCATTAAATGATGAGGATAATAAACAAATCACTTTACAATTCGTTTGCAAAGTTCATTCAAAATAAAATTTATAATTTCATTAGCAATTTTTGAAAAACTAAAATTATTTCGATAAACCCACTTCTTCCAAGATTATCGTACCAGTTTCGCCTGGATAACTGGTAGATCGTAGCCGATCACATTTTGATTGTGTGTTCAACTGTTGTCGTAACCTTGTCAAACACATTCGCTCATAATCGCATGTAGGTCGTCTCATGCCAGGTATTGACACCTATAATTGCCATCATCTATTTTGTATAACTTGGACGCCATTTCAGTGAAAATAAAAGTCTGGATTAAACCCAGTGTAAACAATATATACATGCTTGAATTATTTGATTACTTAATTTTTTTCTTGTGTCCTTTTTGAATTTTTGCTATAAATAAATATCTTTAGTCATGTATATGTGTAATATTCACCTGCAAAATGTGCCAAATATACATATGTGTTTCTTACCGGTCGATTGTTAAGAAGACTTGGAGCAGTAGAATCAACGTTAGTCGAGGTATCACTGATACCTAATCCGGAATCAGTACCACCTGAACGACATAACTCATCAGATACAGTACTTTTGGGGCGACTTTGTCCGACTTTCAAAAGTTTCCAAGTATCCTCATCCTCATCCCAATACGCTCGTTCACGTAAACGATCACGAACATCTTGTGGTACAAAATTTTCCACAATCAGCAGCCTATAGATAATGGTATCGAAAACATCAATATTTTAATTCTAGTTTCAGTATGATTAAAGAATATTTACTCATAATACATAAAACAATTCACGGCCAACACACAGTTGAAAAGTTTACTTGAGTTTTAGCTCTTTATTAATTTCGGTAACCGAGTTTTCCAACTCTTGCCTTTCCTGTGAATGACTTGATAAGGCGTCACTGATTTCCGAACGAACCTAAATAATTTCATTTCTAAATTTATTTTTTCTGGTACTAATTTTTACTCCAAGACTTAAATAAATCTCCACGGTTAGGAGGAAAAAAACATGCCTGCTGAAGCTTGGAATATAACTTTTTCAGTTTCCTTGTTTTTATTTCAACTTCTTGTCTCAAATTACTGAATGTTTCATGTATTTCTGCTGTATTATCTTCTTGTGCTTCCAACTGTTGCAAAATTTCGCGCTCCTTTCTCTTAAATGCGTCTTTTATAATCAACCACATGAATTATGCAAAAAAATCAAAAAACAACCACACACTCATAAATCAAATAATCAAAATCATTTCTTGAATCATTAGTCTCCCATAAATTTATCTCTAAATGAGCATTTGAAACCTTTTGTTCAGCCAATTGTCTTCTTCGTTGTTCCAACAATTTTTGCTGTTCACGAGTTTTATCCAATAAATTGCCGTCACCAGAAAGAAGTTTACTTTGTATTGCTCGAATCTTCGCAGCTACAGTAATTTGTGCTTCGCGTTCCTTTTCCAGTTGGTCAGCCCTTTCTTCCAGATCAGCAAGTATTTTTCGCTTTTCCTTCAAAGCCATAATTCAAGATTCTGCGAGCAAAAAATGCATTCAGTTCATATTGCGTGATTGTTGTCATGCTTAATGAGCAAGTAAAAAAGCTTAATTATTACCTCTGCAATAATTTTTGAATTAGAGATGATTGTTTGTTTTTCATCTTCCAAACGCTTCTGTTCTTCATTGAGATATTCTTCGGTTAGAACATCTGCAATAACATCTCATTAAATGTGAGTTACTATTAAATGAAGCAACTCTAAGGAAATTTTGTACATTTTGCTATTAAGGAAATTCTGAATTTTTTGCAAATTTTGCATTTTTTGCCAACCTTCATCATTATTTTCCCTCTTCCTGCCCACATACACCTTCTTTTCCTTTTTGACAGCACGTTTTTCCAAAATTTCTCGAAGCCTCGTAATCTCATCCTTAACAGAATAGTCGCTATAATAAAAATTAAAGGTAATTCAGAGATTGTAATTTAGCAATACGATATTTTCCTGAGCGCATAGTTCGCATTAGTGTTCGCATAAGCACAGAAGAACCTGAAATTCGCGAAGAAGTGCATCTTTGGGATCCTCGTTGATCCTCGGCCGATTATTAATTTTTTTCGCGCGATTTGCATATCTCAACGTTGACAAAGTTTCTTCGTAATTGTACAATGACGGCCCAATATTAGCAACCATTACAGTTCGCGAATTACCACCTAATGAATCTGAAGGTAATTCTAACATGATCCACTATTACCGACATAGTCTGTAATATAAAGGTGTGATTGATTGCGTGACATTTTGATACATATAAAAGGAAGTTTCAAACAACAGCATTCATCATCGTCAACAACGTTATTTACTGGTACTCTAACAACTTTTATGATTTTGGTCATGATAAAATCAATTTAACCTATTAAAACACCTACATTACCTTGTAACAAACGTGTTAGTTTCGAATCTCTATACGGCACATGAGTACTTTTTCCGCCAACCAGTGCTGATATAACATTGCCAAGAGCGGAAAGAGACAAGTTGATTTTTGTTGCTTCTTTGAAGCGCTTACCATGAGACCCTGTTTTTGACTGACGCTCACTACCTGCCAAGTCTACAAGATTTAATCGCCCAACTCTAAAAAAGTACTCTTTGCTAGTTATATTATATATACAAGCTTCCATAATGCTATATCCATTCTTTCCATGCAGAATGCAAAACTCAGCTGTTCACCTTATATGATTCTGACCATCCAAACCACATTCACTGCATTCAACAGTTATCATGAAAATTGCATGTGAACGACTACTATGTTCGTTCATGTTTGTACTCCTAAAAATTGAACATTTCAGTTTTGAAGTGTGAACTGATGCAAGCAATTAAACATTTTCTTCTTCATTTTCTAAAAGACAACAACAAAAACATGTCACTTTCAAAATGATGACTCAATTTAAACATGCATTTCTTAGTTCCGTTTAAAATGTTTGTAGAAAAAGTGTATATGAACCCGACTGTACGATTTGCGCGGCCGATTGACATAACATGCTCAATTTCTTCCACAGATTTCGTTACAAATGATGAAAGATCTTTCACATAAACACCAACATCTGGACGCTCCCGTAATTCTAAACGTATTTCCGGATCTCTATTCAATAAGTCACGAATTTCTTCCTGAAATTTAAAAAGAAAAAGATAACCAATTAAATCTTTCTTATTCCTTATAACTCTCCGTTATTTCCGACTAATACCATTGATTTCTTAATATAATTTACGAAAAACTTTTTTAATATAATTTATATTGAATATGTGTGTTAAAATTCTTAATGGGCATTATTTTAAAACAGCTGTGTTAGGTAGATGTAACTGCACCCAGTTAGTTTTTCGGAATTATTATACAAATTTACTTATAAAGTATTCTTGCGACAGAAATTTTAGAAAAATAAATGAAGAGAAATGCTAAAAACCTGATAGATTTCTAAATAGCTTGCCCGAACGAGGTATTGCTGATTCTGTGACTGTGATATATGCTGGAAAATATGATGATATGCGTTCGGTATGACGCCACGTAATTCAGGATCCTCATAAACACCTAAGCAAGGCATATATAAGATCAGATCTAAATGGAATAAATATTATATTTTTCTTTTTCTGTGACATTTAGAATAAAAGTACTTCAATCCTCCATTAACTGAAACGATCAATTGTTCTGATAGGTATCATGGAACAGCGACTGTTTCAACTACTAGTAATTACGTTGCAAGTTTCAAGATAAAATCTAACCCTCCATTGTGAATGTTTTTCCTGTTCCTGTTTGACCATATGCAAAAATCGTTCCATTGAATCCTTCAAGTACAGAATCGACAAGATGGCGAAATGTTTCGTCATAAAGATCAAGCTGCTTTGACCTTAAAAGTATATTTAAAAAAAATGCTTTCAGTATCTTATTAAAAGCAGTTTCTGCAAGCTAAAAACAAACATCCATCTTTTCATTTTCAATCTTAATATTTCTGTCCAGATGGGATGATTTGCATTCGTTTTAAAGATTTCGATTTTAAATAAAAATTTCAAATATGTTGTATATCTTCGGTTAATGAAATTTTCATAAAAATACTTACTGCGGATCATAAACTGAATCAAATGTGAATACTTTTGAAGGTTCGTTTGGTTCTTTTGGATTGTGCAATTCAATTACACCACGGTCTGTTTGAATATCAACAATACTAAAATTAATAGAAACTGAGTATTAAAAGCGAAAGATCTCAAGGCTGGTGAAATTCCTGAAACACATAAGTACTACAAGCAGTAAAGAATCAAATCACTGATACAGAGGAGATAATATTCAGAAACAAATTTTAGATACATGTATATTCTTCAGTTTATTAGTCAAGAATATAGAATACTACATAAATTAGTTTATTTTGTTTCAAACTAACTGGTAAGTACTTACCTTTGGTGGCCATCAGACATTTCAGAAGCGGATAATGGACGGCAACGGATGACCACTTTGACTGCTTCTGATTTCTCGGTGGCGGAACGTGGTCCAAACGGTGCGGACACCATATCCTCCAAGAACTAGTAAACTTTGGATTTGGCTAGAATTAATTAGACTGACAACGACTTGCAATAAGCTATAGTAACGTTTCTGTAATCTTTAAAAAATGCGCTTATGTGAAGAAAGATACACAAAAAGCAGAGAACATCCAACTTTTGTTCACATTAACTAAGAGCTCAATAAGGCGCCATCACAGAAAAGAATTCTCGTAAAGAAGTTGAACTACTAAAATAGCAAAAGCCGGTTCCTTGAATGGAAAGTGAAAATTTTATTATTAGTTAGGCATTATTGCCATGGAAATTTTCCGATATGCAGCTTTCTATCAAGCTTGTTTCTCTCCTCCTCTCTCAATTTTCTAGTTAACTTCAAAGCCAACTAACTTTCTGTTATCCTTCTCGTCTTTCTATTGCATTACAACATGAAAGCAATTCCTGAACCAAGTCAGCTGCAAATTCTGAAATAAAATTTGATTTCTTATAATTTTAGGAAAATATTGAATTTTTAAGATACTCTTAAATCTGTGTATTGATAAAGTTATTTTTCCCACTTTAGAACTTGATTCCATTACTGCTCCCATAGAGTTAACATTACAGCCAGATGGAGCTTAGCCTTATTACGACCCTCTCTTCTCTGCCCTCTTCCATAATTTGCCTGAACGTTTTTACTTTTTTAATTTATTACACACATCTACTTTTTTTAAGATTTCACAATGCGAAAAAATGGCAAACTTATTCTCTCATTAACTTAGAAATTTCAAATTTCTCAAACATTGAGTATTTCAAACTGGGCTTCAAAAGACGTCATTTCAGGCCAGGCTATCACTATAAATTGGACCCAACTCTTGATTTATGTGAAATTGTTAGTCACTATCGGAAGATAAACATTATAATAACTACTCCAAAAGAAGAAAGAATTTGCTTCTGACTGTACCATTAGATCTCACATTTCAGCAAATGACAATCACAAGTAAAAGTGCGACAAGCTCAACTGACAACTCGGTCAATCTGGAAGAAAACAGCATCTAAACATGATGAAAATGATGGATTTGCAAATGAAGCCAAGAAATTCTTAGTTGTGTGTGACATGTGTGTGATCGCATATTGATATCACTATGTGAATCAAAAAATTTAAGCAATCTTAATCTTGCTTTACATATTCTGTTACAATCAAGTGATTATTTTCATTACCTTATTTCATAGTCAACTGAATCAGTGAAACCAGCAGTATTGAAAATCTTTATCAGAAATACGTATATTCTTATATTTCGTCGTTATTTAATTATTACAGTTTGATAATACCTTCTCGCTTCATAACTCCTAAAAGTAATATGCAATAATCATATGTCTGCATCTTTTATCAACGATGTATATCTATTAGGATAACAAGATATTAATGGACAACGACACTGCTGTCTACATTCAGAATACATCTATCACTTTTAAATTTATTGAAAAATGAATTTAGATTCATTTGATAGCTGCATAGCATTTTCGAGTTAAACAAGTCGACACTCGACTTATATAGATGTTATTAAGGACGATTTAATATTAAAAATAAATTGCTATCGATAAAAGAAATATTTAATAGATCTAAAAGTTTGTATAAGGAGGATGACAATTCAATATAGGCGTATGTGGAAGAAATAATCCCAAATCTCATATGACTGTTATTGCTGGCTTTTTCTATTGTCTTAAAATTAATAAATACACGGAAATGTGAAATATCTTTCTTGCCACTTCAAATCATTATTTTTTCATCGAACGGTAGTGACACGGCTACTAGTGAAAGTATTTTGAAAAAGCATAAATAGATCAAACAAAAATATGTACTGGGCTGCAATATGGTAAGGAGCAAATATTACTGGAAAACATTAAAATAATGATTTTTTTCCTCTGAAACAGACAAATCAGCCACTGCTGCTTGCAATGGTCTAATAATTTGCTAAGTGGATGAAAAAATTAATACAATTAATATGTTTGAGGGAAAAACAACAAAGTGTTATGTCAACAAACTAAACAGCCTCACTGCTTGTCATTATTCATTTCAAAATCTGACATTGTCACGAACATTCCGCAAAATAATAAGAATAACGAAAAAAGGAAATGAAAAACTAATTGAATTTTATTGATTGGTTTAGTAAATTAGAGCAAAAAACAATCAGTCCGAACGATAAATGGAAATCAGTTTTTGTCTCATTTCTAGTGAAATTATCCAACATAAAGTTAACATGGCTGAATAAAACAACGTAAAAACTCGGGCAATCTAAGTACATTCTTTCCTTGGGAACATATCCTGACCGTCAACCGACTAAGATGGATAATGAGAATCATCGTGCTCTAACAGAATTAGCTGAAATAGACGGTAAGTTGATAAAGTGAAGCTTTTCAGGAACCTTGACATGTATGTGAGCAGTTTATAATGATAGGAACTTTGCAAGGGATGGTTTAAAAGCTCCCGAAAGACGAAACTTCATTTAACCTATCCGCCACACTCATTTACATCTCCTCCTTTAATACATTTCCAATTACTCCACGAATATTCGCAACTTCTGTTTCCGAGATTAAAGACGCTTTTTCAAATAATACAATATGTTAATACAATAAAAAGGAAAAAAAGGAATTTTTGAAATCAGTTGTAATCACAACAATTTTGATGATACACCAAATGACAATAGAAAAAAGGAAAGAGAAAGTGAAAGGTAATTAATTGTAAAGTGACAATAATGAAATATATCATACAGCAGGTAAGAATGTACAATGACTTTACTGTTCTAGACAATATCATTTGCATTTTAATAATAATTCATACACTATTCCCTCCCCCTAATATCACCCCGGCCCGCTGATACCAGCTGGCCAAATTTGTCCAAGTTTAACGAAGTAATCAAAACTTCGCAGAATTAATTAATAATCTTAAATTATTGATATTCTGGAAATAAATCTGATTAAAGCTAAGGATCGAATATATAATTTGCCGATTAATAAGCATCAATTAAATAGAGGCTTTGAAGGTCCATAGAGGGATATATGAAAGTCAAGATCACATTTTTTGATATATTTCAATCAATGAATATAAAATATTAGTGGTTAAAATGGGTACTACATATTCTAAAACATCGTGGATTCAACATTTTATGATTCAAAAACTGAAAAAATTGGGGAAGATAATTAGCAGTATAATTAAGTAATTAGGGCATTATTTAGAGATAAGTTAGAAATGATGAGAATAGAAAGGATATGGCATACGTTTGTTAATGATAGCATTAACCTTACGTTACACAGCTGTAGTAGTAGCAGTAGTGATAGTAAAAGTAGTATAGTAAACTGCCCACCGTGGAAGGCAGAAAGCAGAATAAAAGAGCAGAAGCAACAGCGCAGCATTGTGATATTGGAAGATTGAAGAATCGATAGACACAAGCCTCTTTGCTGAAGATGGATGATTTTGCAATTGCGCAGCATTACATAGCAACTAATGTGAAATAGCATGCAAAGGAAAATGTGTTAGAAACTGGCGGTTTTAACGTTCGTAATGCTTCACGCTATGACCCTTCCTGGTCAGGCAGAATGACAAAGATAAGTTGTACGATGAAATGTTAATCACTTATCAGATGAGATTCAAAACTTTTCAGATCTGTGACACATCTTGATAATTCATTGAATATGCTGTGCAACCGTACGCCTATAACAGCTAAGCATCACTTAAAGATATTAATTGATTAATTACTTATTTTAATCTAGTCTTTTGTTAAAAGTTAAATTAGATACTTCTTGATTTCATTTTAATCGTTTGTAGCTATTTGATGTCACTGAATCAAAGGATGACTAAATGCAAAACATAGAAAAAGATTGGAGTAGTAGAATTCATACCTTAATTTTCGTCCATTTTGGACAAAGCAACGGTAACTTTAGCAGAAGCAATAGTACTTTTCAATTTTTTTTTGAAATTTTTAAGTTCGTGAGTTTTCACATCTTATTGTCATTTAAACAAAATGAACATAGTTCTTCTTCCAGCTAGTGCTAAATTTTGTTGGATTGAAAACCTGCAAAATTGTCCTTTTGGCCTGTTAGTTAACTGAAATGCAGAATTTCCACTAAAAGTAAAGATCACTGATTCAGAAATATTTGACAAGGACCAGTGAAGGAATCAAATTTTTTGTTGATGATAATCATAACCTTGAAGATTCGGGATGAAATTAAGTTTACTCATTTATGATAGCTTTAAATAAACTCAAATGAAGTGTTACAAAATTTTAAAATCGATTTGAACTCCTCGCTGAGATATTTTGTGTGAATAAAATAAAGCCCTAATTTCAGATATTGGAAATTATGGGCTGTGAAATTTCTAATGATTCAATACTAAATGTGGATAGTGTCTACTACTCCGTCTGAGAAATTTTTTATCAGTTTTTGAATATTAGAAGTACTGTCTACCACTTCGCACAGAGCAAATATTAAAATAAACAACCATACTATTAGTTAGAAAAAAGTGAGTGCTATGAATCCGGCACTTAAAATACTTTCTAACATTTTCAAGTTAAATGTAATATTTTTATGTTTATTAATTTCATTACAAAATTTGCTCCTAGTTACTGACATTAAAATTTTCTTTCTTGACAGCTAATGTGAATAGGTTACTCAATAATCATTATGATTCGCACTCCCTGTAGCTGTTCTGCTTCGCTAAATTTTTAATGTTGGAAGCTTTTGAATATTTATACATGGCACTCAGAAACTGTGATTTTCCGAAGTTTAATTTAAGATTAATTTACTGATTCGGAACTTTTATTGACATTTCCCAGATCATCATGTCCTTTGGGACGCTGATTTTCATTTAAGATCTGTTATACATTCTGATCGAGACTAAGCAGAAGAGCTTATCACTAAAAAGAAATATCTGTCGATCAAAGTTAGTCCACATAATCTCAGGCAAAAAAATCAACTGGAGTTTTTCTTTTTTTAAAAAAATGTATGTGATTTAAAAAATATATACATATATATGAAGTTACTTTATCTTTTTGAAACTCGTAACCTCGAAATTTTCGAATTTCTAACATTATTGGTTATACAATCTGAAAAAAGATTGCAGATTCACGTCAAATTGACTGAGTCATGAAATAAGTGATAGAATAATAAACCATATTCATTTCTTATGAATATCTGAAAATCTTAGCATAAATAAGGAGGTAGCAATATAGAGAGCAAAAAATGAAAAACTGAAAGAGTTAGATTATAATAGCTAGCACTTATAAATACTAAGACTAAGATAGAATTTTTATAGTTTTTTAATATACCGTTATTCTGAAAATTAATGATATATGTTCCAACATTCGACTAAATAAGTTTTTTAAACTGAAAACTTTTTCAACGAAATGTTTTGAATTTAATAAGAGTAGAAAGAAAACAGGCCTCAAAATAAGCTTATTAAGCGTCTTTTTTTCTAGTTTTTCCAATAAAAGGTTTGTTGTCAAAGCAGAATATGAAATAGCTATTTGCACTGTTCGCAAACTTTCTGTCGTTGTCAAATAAATTTAGTTCAAAACTAAAATTATAAATTCAATCTAACTTTTCAAAAACATAAATGCAAACTTTTCATTCAGCCTTTTTTCTTCTACAAATGTCATTTATGTAACAATTTTACAATTTTAAAAACTATCAAAACCAAACTTGATACTGCCAAAATTGAATACAAGTCATCAAATTAATAGTTTTAGTGAGCAAAACTGGACAGTTCATATGGTGATGAATCAATCACTACATCCACTAAGAAATCAATCGATCCTGGAGGAGGGTAGCAGGTGAACATCTAGTAAAGGTCATCAGTGAAACAAGTGGTTTTCGGCATCGAAAACTAAGAAACAAAAGAAACTTGATCCGTGTATAAGCGCCTGCATTCTCTGCGCAGTCTTTGGCTTTAATTAGTTAGGTATTTCAAAAAGCGTAGCAATGAACACGATAATGAGCAAGCTCTAGTTTCGGTAGCACAAATCACTAATGATATTTTATCATGTTAAATCAAGCATATCAGGCTATCCACTAATGCAACTAACAGCAGTGCATTAATCTTACGCATCATTAATAATTTTTTCCAATCAACCGTAATAGTACTTTGCTCCGATCTATCTTTATACAATTGCAATGCAGCAAATAATTACTAGATTGTTTTTTGAAATTCGTTTGGTGAAAGCAGAATTAAAATCATCGTTTATTCATCGCTAAAATTTCCGAAAATGGAAGCTGCAATCTGTTCTACCCAATGTATTAGCATCCTCAGACCATAATGAGAACCACTCAACATGAAAGATATGCAGCATTTCCCGTAGCTTCCAACATTGTAATTGTAGAGAACCTTTCACCTGTTTTCTCTGTCTAACTGGCTAGACAGAGCATATATATAATTTAACGTTTTGCACAATGTCAATAAAACAAATTTTTGAGATCTGTTTATTCAGATCAAAGTTTTCACAGCGTCTTAGAATGCATTACAGAACATCATTCTTGAGAACTGTTGGAAGTTTCAAATTTTGCCCAGCATCCAGTCCTAACTTCTTTGCTATTCATGTAAAATAAAGCAAACAGCAAAGTCTGAAAACTTTGCAACCATGTGGGAAGAGTGGAATTATTAACTTGAACAGAAAAAAAAGATCATGCCTCATAAGGAACTTGAATATTCAACCATACACGAATAACTTTTCCGGAATGTTGGTATACCATAAAAGTAGTCACAAAAACGAAACAAAACTAACAACTTGACTGACAGTAGGAACGCTAATCTAAATTATTATTGATAAAATTTGCATCATACCAATTTCGTTTTGAAATCTTTGCTATTACGGGGAGTAATTTGTCTAAACCGATCATAAAAACAAGCTTTGATTTAATGTTCAACTAGAGCTCCAATATTAAAAAGTCCAAACCTGAGATTTCCAAAAAATTCATGACAGCGCTATCGGAGAAATGAAAAGATACAGTTGCACTATTCACTCCAACTGGCATAATTTGCACACAACTACCAGTGCATTATAAAGAATGTTTGAAAAGCCAAAAAAATGTCTCAGAAAACAGAATCATAAAAACATGGATGTATGATACGTGATATAGGCACAACTGAATATTATTATCAATGAAAGACGTGAAATAACCAATCGCCAATAATAGCTGTGACAAAATAGAACAATATTTTATATGCATTGGACAGGTGATTACAGTGCTAAAAGACGTCGAGGCTGCTCACTATGAAAAATGATGAATCGGTCCTACGACAATACGATAGTACAGTAAATGACAGTGGGGTAAAATCAAATTCGAACTATAAGCTGTACAAGCACTAAGTCACCAAACTACCCAACTTTTTCCAATAAAAAGTCAGGAAAACACAGTGGAACATAATGCATCACTTTCATGGATTTCTAGGAGTACTTCCATCCCGGAATTGAAAGGTACAGAAACATTACTGTCTAAAACAATATGAGCATTTGTACATCTCGATCTGACTCGTATCCTTTTAGCAAAACCGCGCTGTATTCCAACTGGGAATGTTGCATTGAATACTGGATCTCGAACAGTAAATGCTATTGCTGTAAATAATACTATATTACTTAAACTAAACTTTTGTCAGCTATCGTGGGAAACATTACGTTCAATGACGAATCATCAGACTATTGACGAGATGCACTTTTTCAAACACAATAATTTTTTTTCTATATACTGAATTTAATCCACCCTAGCGTATCACCACTATTGTACGTTACCTCGGTACAACGGAATTGATATATTAATGGCAATCATGTTTTGTTAACTAAGAACGTACTTGTACACTGCGGATCGAAAATTAACTTTTCATTGAAGCGCTTGCATATTTCCTGAGTGATAGCATCCGTTGGATTAACAGCAAGCAAATCCATACCTTCCATTATAGATAACAATTCCCCAACATGCTGCTCCGAAACACGGTTGATGTTGTAATTCCTGAATAACGAATCATTCTTTAAAATTTTTGCATTGCAACGACGAATGCATCATAACTAGGATTTCTCTTCATATTTTCACAGGTATCTCTTGATTGTGTTATTTTATGCACTCAAGAAAAAGGCCTTCAGCCTTTGAATGATCAATTCCAAAAAGTGATAACAAAAACTGCCCTTTTATTTTGAATGTTCGGATTAGTTTATGCATTCAACACCGAAACTGAGTATTAATGTACTGCAGAAAGTCTAGGAAATGAATTGGTTTTTAACTCATGAAAGCGGTGACTGACAAAAACACCGGTATGATTGTTTTATAGTGTTATAAAACTGTTGTTAAAAACTCGCTCATAAATTGATTATATATATACTGCCACCTAGAAAAATTAACCTATATCTCAATTCCTAAACTCTTTACCATTTTCTTTTCATCCCGTGAAAAGAATAACTGAAAATGTCCGGTCATTCAATGCAGCCCGTCTTCTGGTGATGGCGCGACTGCACGCCGGACACGGCCATGCATCCGCTTCCTGAAAGAACGAAATACAAACTAACACACATAAATGCTGCATATGGGGAGATTAAAGTGCATAACTAAGATAAATTTTATTAACCATGATGTAGAGCCTGTTCCAGTGCAAGCTGTCATACCAGAGCTTTTCTGACGTACCATAGGGCCATCATCAATTTGAACATCATAATAGCTAGCTCGAGAAGCATGACTTTCACCAATGAATACATCATTAAGAGCTAAGAGAGGATACTCTGGATCGCAATCATCTTGCAAAAACAACCTGAATAAAAATGTAAAATAACTTAGTGTCCATTAATTAAAATAAAGAAGTGAGAGGAAAAAATCAAATACTGAAAGCTATAGAAAGAATCTGTTTAAGAATGAACATAATCATTAAGAGCCAGAAATGACTATATGTATTGAAGATAAAGCAAAAAAAGGAAGAAAAAACAGCAAATAAATCAAAATAATATACGATAAAGATAAAATGAAGGATATCTTTCTGGGACTATTAGATTTTCATATGAAACGAGAATGCAGAACCTGTCTACACTGCCGGTTCCGTTGTAAAAGATTCACGACAAAATCATTCTGGAGAGCTCAAAGTAGAAAATTTCATATTAACCGCACGTGAGAATGATTAGAGTTTGCATTTTTGAGATTTTAGTTAGTATAAGCTACATTAGGAAACTGAAGTTTCTAAAACGCTATTCTTTTTTGATGAGGAATCTCCTGTTTGCATTCGAAATATGTGTGCGAACTACTCAAAATAAATCGGTCAGACCAAATTAACGGACAAACGATGGAGTGCAGCAAAGAAATAAGAAAAAAAAAACTTGAAAAGAACACTCACCTGGCTTCACGTAATTTGTCGCTTTTCTCATAACACTCTTCATCAAATTCCGCATTATTTTTGTTATTTTCTACCCATTTTAATACTGTGACTCGTATTCTATGTCTTCGAATCCACCTTTAAACAATATGTGTGTTTCAAAGCTAACATTCGTGATAATCTGATTTGAAGTTATAAAAAGAAATGTGTAAACAATATAGGCTTAAATTTCCAAAATTCGAAAAAAATACGTCTAGAAAGTGCTTTTCAGAAGACCGCCAAAACTTAATTTGTTAACTGTGAAAAAGGATCAAAAAAATTAAGATCTCCAATGATTAAGAGTTCACCAATGTGGTATAACCAAACGGTATGGCACTGCTAAATAATACTGCACCTGCACTCGCCCTTGAGTAGTTTCTCGATTATTTCACCAACTGGTTGCGTTCCTTTCCTTGTTATACATAGATAACCTTCAGACCTATACATTTCTAATATTTAACAACAACTTCCGAATATATTCTCTAATGAATCTGAGTTCTAAGAAGCTCGTCACTTGTCTAGAATCGAACTACAAATCACAATACATGTATAAAGTATCGAGATCCAGTTTTAACTGTAGCAGCCAGCTGTTACATGTTATTCATCAGCTGAATTGCAACAGTGGTAGCTTCCATATTTCGCTAGATAGATATTTACATGAAGAAGTTTAATATATGCATTTGCTACTATTGCAGCCAATTCACTGCTTTTAGAGTTATTAGAGGAAAACTGTCCTGCGTTGTAACTAGACGATAGCATGAGAAAGTTATAAAGAAAAACAGAAGAGAGGACTACAAATGATACGATTAAAATACCCCATTGGATCGGTATTAAAGCCAACGACAGCTCGATGATCACGTATCTTCTCAGCAGCCACCAAAAAAGTACCATCACCTCCAGCCGAAAACACTGCATCTGCATGAGCTACTACTTCCACTGTATATTCGCTTCGCGTTACAACTTCCACTTCAATTCCATGATTTCTAAAGGAATCTAGGATAAATAGCTAGTAAAGGGATGAATTCATATTACATACAATTTAATTTAACTTAAAGGATATCATAATTTAGAATGATAACATCGCTGCTTTCTGAACAATAGACATGTCCATCAATACCCTTAGTTACCCTTAACCTGGATAATGACAAACTTCAGAAATATCATTGCAATAGCTGGATCCAGTGAATGGAAAAATGACTAAACCTAAAATTATTTAATCACACATTACCAAACAAACAGTTTTATGGACAGAAAAAGAAATGCTGTCTTATCTCCATTTAATTTTTCTCATTCTAGACTGGAAACCAACTTACAAACTCAACTAATTGCGAGATATAAAACGAAACAGTCACTTACTCGAGACATAGGCGCATAGCACGGACATAATTCTGTTGCTCAATATGTTTTTTTTTCATTTCCTTATAATTCCAGCCGCTTCTTTTTAACTGAAACAAGGAAAAAAATAAGGACAATATCCAGCAGACAAAATTTAATGAAATTGTTTTGATAAATATAACAAAGAAAGAAAGAATCCTTGCACATTTAAAAATGATTGGACGAGCTCTACAGAAACAAAAAAATTTAACTGATAACTTGAATTTCTTAAATTCTTTTATTTGGTATAGAAGTAATAAAAATGATCAAATCCCAAACCAATGCACAAAACTGAGTACGATTAAGCTGTGTGTGCTTCTGCCTCTCATAATCCAACCTGGTTGTCTTTGATAAAATTACTACATGTTTTGGCAAGAATATTATTCCGGGATATGCCTTTGTCTTTGAGTTCTAAAGTAATATTTTTAAAACACAAGAGCATTGATTATATTTCAAAATATGTACATAGCTGAAGAGGAGTAACAGTAAAAATGCAAAATGTAAAGAAATTTACGTTTTTTGTGCACAAATCGTTGTTGTCTTCTTCGCATTCGAAAACATTGCTGTTAACACCTGTTTCACCAGCTACCATTTCTGTACGTTCTTTAATTAGAGTAAATGAAAAATCTTGGAAACATACCAGTTATGTATAATGTAGTAATAAACTTAAAAAATAATTCAAATACTGATCGCAAACCAAGAACTAATCTGCTTAAAATACTGTTCATCCTCGCGACCGAAACGATAAAGTTAACAACACTGTATGTAAATTACATTGCACGTAGCAAGTGTAAGTTACAAGAGATCAACACAACAGAAGAAAATTCTGTCTTATTTGCTCCTACCACAATTTCTTAAAGATAAGAAAACATCAAAAACAAATATATGATCCGACTGCACAATTCCATAAATATTTTCGAAAGACGTGAATCCTGATATAAAAACTGATTTGAAAATTAAAAACAGATCAGCTGAGAGTACACCACACCGAAACTGGAAAATGAGCAAAATTCTTCCTTCATCAAGCTGTGGAATGCGGAAACAAATCGTTTTACTAGGATTCTTATGCTAAACTGAATAACCTTAGAGACAGGCTGAATAACTATTAAACTTTATTGTTGGCAAACCAATCGTTCTACTATATTTTTATCAGTATAATATATTGAACTTACTGAAGAAAACTCCCCTTTTTGTTTCACAAATTCATTTCCTCAGTATAATATTTCTAAATACATTAAGATTTGTTAAAATTTTCGTTTTATTTTGAAATGAGAACAGTTATCTGAATATACAAATGCCCCTGTGGCCATATTATTGACTGTTTCAATGAACAGTAACGAAGAGAAGGACAGCAAAAAAACGAGTTTAAGCACTTTCAGAAATGGTGACCCTCTAGAAAAAGAAAAAAAATATTCCGCATCTAGTCCTATCCTTAAAAGAATAGACGATTCAGCAAACAAGCAGTTAAAACTAGTTTTACAGTTAAACCCACAACAACTTTAATTTTTTAATGCAACTTAGTGGAAATACTTATCGCTATAGAAAACTAATCGAATTCACAAAGTCTTCTAGAACACACTTTTCAATAAAAAAAATACAATAACGCATTGGTTGGAGAATAAATGATATCTCAAATATGGAAAGATTCGTACAACCTAAATTTTGTCGTAACATACTTTTACAGCGAACCACAACCCAGGTTTTATACATAAAAGATAACATCAAAGAAAGGCGACTTTTTCTAAAAATTTCAAAAACAGTTTCATGCCAATAAGAAATATTTTTGAAATGTGACTAAAATAAATCAAATGATCACTAAAAGTGATTATGCAGAGAGGCTATAGATATGGCTGTTATTTAATGATATGTGCAGAAAATTTTAAACGAGAAATGGTGAAAAATTATTGAAATGTCCGTGTAAAATATGAAGTCATTGCAAAGACGCAATAGTTTTGTTCCGATAAGTACGTTGTCTACAAATACAAATTTGTCTGAAATAAAAGTTTTTAACAAAGAGAATTGATACGCTAATAACTGAACTGGAACAGTGGAAAAAATTTATCGACAACTGCATGCCATCAATTTCAAACATACATACACCAGGTAAAACAGTTACACATGGAAATAAGCAGGTATCACTGTCCTTGAGTGAGGAGGCCTTCATAATTCGTTAGTTTAAACTTCCACGACCAGAAATAACATATCAAGCGCTGTTCCACTTATGAATTTTTTTTCTTCGATCGGAGAATGTTAATTCGATAACGATAGATTTGTTACATTTCTTTGTGTCCTGAGCATTCCTACGTAATCTTGCGAAATCGAGTAGCAAAGTACAAGAATAAAGAGAAAAACTGCCGTCATAGGGCCTTGAAAAATTTCTTACATTTTACAAAAATGATAACATGAACTACCAATACTCGCTACAGAACTCTTGAAAACACCACTATTATGTAGCTCACCAAATGAAACAAACATTTCTTCTGATAAAAAACTTGAACAAAAAGTGATAGGAAGCCCTTATTATAAGTGTGCTCTTAAAATCGGCATCCTTTCTATCAAAGGAAAAAATTTCCACTAGAATCAATTTTTGCAGCAATATGATAAAACACCAAATCAAAGATCTACAAATGTTTATTTACAAAAAGGTGTGTGAGATGGATGAGAAGTGATTTGTAACAAATCAGTCCACTACAAAAATAAAACATATTGAGCATACATATTTTTTGGGACATGTTTTGGATAACAATTACATTAACGTATCTTAAAAGAATTATTCGACTTCATTAATGTTAGCATTTTTGTTCATGCCAGATTAAAGCTCAATTATTGAGTTCTCACTTGGAGCATTAATAACTATGATTGAAATTATCAGTCTCTATTTGCAAAGGACTGCAAGATTCATCTAATACACCAGAAAGCTTTATAACTCTTCATTTATTTTTCCATTTTAATTATGTGTATTATTCAATGAAATGATTTTTCGAACCAGTGTTACACTGCTGACGAAAGTTCCTTCTTCAAGTGGAAGAGAATAGAAGTAAAATGACATTTTTATATGATAATATCATAATACTGATAACAAAGGAGGTAACGTTATTTAAAGACAATAGTGAACGCTGTAATACTGACACTAAATGGGGTAAACACAATTTCCACTATGAATTACTTCACGAACGAATACTAATACATTAAATATTACGACTGAGATGCGCGTTTCATGAGTTTTAACATTACACATAATGAGAGTCCTCCCATATAAAGTCTCCTTTACATAAATTATTTTAGATTTAAATATTAGAGATTATAAATTATTTTTAACTATTAGAAAATTTACATTAGCCAGCTTCTCTACAATTAATTCCAAACGTGATTAAAAAGTTTTATTGTTCGTACTATCGAATAAAACAAAAAAAAAGTGACATATAAAAAACCCATCTTTCACAAGTAATAAAACAAAATTTATAAGGATAATAAATCAAGATTCTAAGAAAAATAATTTTATCATCGGAATGATCGCTGATATTACATTGAAAGTAAAAACTGGAAAAGAATAATGCTATCACTTTTAACGAAATTACTGCATATACAGCAGATCTAGTGAAAACGTGAGTATAATGACGAATTGCGGACTGAATGAAAAGAGAAAAGATGGATTAAAAACAAGAAATTTAAACTCGTTCTAAAAGATGCATACAGGATCTTATCCTTTAAAATCCCAGTATAAAAATATTTTTAATAGCAGTATTCATATGCTCGTCAGTCAAGATGTACCACTACTGCAGTATTTTTTGTGTCATATTTTTACCACTGATTATTGCCAGCAGCGTTCACTGGCGTAAGTTAACTACTTTTCAAAATCAGTATTTTATTCAATTTGATCGTGTGGAAAAAAATGTGTTTAGCTCGTTACTATAAAACTTTAAAAAATCTGCACTTTAAATGAAGAGCATGCTGTCGGAATAAGGTTTTTAATGATAAGATTAGAGAGCTTGATAATAACTTTGCAAAATTCAAAATGCATCTGAAATTATGCTTAAACCCAATGCTTTCTTAATACGAATACAGTCGGATTTAGAGTGGCGAGATCTAATATGTGTCACAAAAGACGGAGTAGGTTCAGACAAAATCAGCAAAGAACCTGCATCCTGCAGTTTAGTCTTGCGCGAAACAGGAATCGACAACGATCCAAATGATAAATGGAGAGCTGTGCCAGGAAACAACTCTGTTTGCTTTGATGTAAGATCTTTTAAAATTATCAACTTCTGTCAAATATCAAATGCTCCTAAGATTGAAATTCCACACATAACAATTATGAACTGAAATGAAGAAATCCCATTTAGAAGTATCCAATTTTCAATAGAACTGATAGCATGATGTTGAATAATCAGTCAAATTAATGCTTTTTCAAAGGAGACAGTAAATGGAACTGTACGTTCTTACTGCAATCTGCTGTGTCCAAATGCTGATACCGCGTATTTCATTAAGCGAACACCACAAACGCATCGGTCATGCTTTGCATTCGTAACTTATCATCATGAGAAACGTGGCACTGACTGGTACGTATGGCGAAATAAGGTAAGTTTTGAATTCTGTCTCTAAGATTTTAGGAATGTGATATATTTGAAAAAAATGAACATGGAAGACATCCGAGAGAGACCGATAATCTGTCACTTACCAAACAGAATCCTCACTATTAGAACTACCGAAAAATCTTGAAAGGAGACATTTCAGAACTGCCGTATGTCCACAATAACGTTCACGATCCGGTGTGAATTTCTTTTTGATCGGAAAGAATTTCCGCGTGATGAAGAGATATTCAAAAAGCTGCGAAAAGTATAATGTGATACAAAAACTTCACTTGTACTCTTATATAATCTTGGAACAATAATAGTCCTCGAAAGAGGATCTTGCTGAAAATGTCATCATCTAATAAGGAATCCCCAAGAGTAGCAATATCCATCCTCTCCCATCCAATCACCGGTCATTCTGTATCTACACCTTAGCCTAACTTTAAGAACAGAACAATCCAACCACTCAGTCATCCACTATTATCCAGAAATTCTCATCAGAATGCAGTGAAATTCCATTCCCTCATGTGTTTGCCATTTTCCAAAGTTCGTTTCTTCCTGAGTCCTTAAGATTCAGTGTTTTCGCAGAACCTAGTGTTGTCCATCAATAAATAACGCTGGTCAAATGTGCAATAACAATGAATGAGACACGCGATTATTTCGCAATTTAATGTTTTAAATAATAATTTTAGAAATCCAGTACTGCTCACGCTCCTCTATTTTTCGGGTTTCAAATTGTCCTGTTACCTTACTCAGATTTCTTCGCTTTATTACCATGCTAATGAACAGAGAGAGGATTATTTGGGGTGATGCAATTTTCCCAACAATATAATGATTGATTTTTAAATTTTTTTAAATAATTTAAATTCTTTTAAATTTAAACTTCTAAATATCATGCACGTTAAATAGATCTTCAAGAAAGAAAGAAAATAACCACTTAAACCAAAATCTATGAATATAAGTGAATTTTTGAAGCAACAAATTCATTCAGCTTTCATTTTGTGACCCAAAAACTTTGGCCATTTCGCAATGAATTAGTAGAAAATTTCATATTTCATGACTAAAATTCCATTCATTTGAAACAGTTTATAAACTTAAATGGATGGCCACGTATATTTGGCTCATGTTCTTTTCATTTAGTTGTTGCTGCAAAATGATTCCGCATCACGACTAATAGTTAATTAAACTTTATTGGAACGAAACTTTTGTGCTTCAGATGTTTGACGTTTTAATTTTTTTAAATGGCTATTTTCAATTTTATTAGTAGCTTCAGTATATTTGGGTATCAGGAAGAACATTTTTAGTCTTGCTTCATCATTTCAAATATTTAATGAATCTAAGACCAGGAAACCAAATTTTCACCATTAGTTCAAAATTCAAAAACTGAATTATGACTGCAACACCTGATTAAAAAAATTTCCTTTCCATTTCTTTATATCTCTGAATTTTTCCTCAAATATAATAACAGATACTCCCGTATAACAATTGCTAATAACAATTAAAAGGAAATAATTCAAAATGAGAAATAATGCATTGGAAATTATGAGGATAAATGAATTAACAAAGCAAAGTGTGATTAATACAGTCAAATAACAACCTTGCAGTGTTTTTTTTCTAGTAGAGTGTTAAAGAAGTGGAAGAGATATGTAAACTGTTTCCTATTTGTTGAAAAAGTACTGGTAAAAATCAGAAGTATAATGTTTTGCGAGTTCCGCTATTATATAAGTTCATGAGGATGACTAACTTTGCAAATTATGGCGATAAGAAATTTCAAAAACATGTTATATATGAGTAACTGCTACATTAAAAATAAATAAAATAACCAGTGATGTATTAAAATTCCATGAATTTATGCTGATTTCCTTAAACTACTTAAACTGATTACCCTACGAGTTAATTGATAGTAAAACCTACAAAACTTTTTAACTACTAAATTTGCTTAAATGATCTCAGAGTGCTATTTGAATCGTGCTTTGTATTTACCTGTTTTTTATCACTCTGTAAAAAAATGATCTCACGTCTTATCATGTTGTGAAATAGTAAAGTAAGCTATCAATTTATTTTTAAGAAAAGGTGAAGTTGAAAGAATTTCAAATAATTATAACGTATTTAAGTCAAATTAAACCAAAGAAATAGAACAGAAATTTGTATTACCTTGTTGATGTAGTTGAACTTCCCGAATCACTTCGACATTCACTGAACTATAGTTCTTGTTTGTAATGCAATTATGTGCCAAACACAGCCAAATATGAGCGCCAGTCGTTAATCCTTTTATTTAAAAATACTAGCCGTCAAAATTGCTGATAGTCACGACATAGTCTAGTTTCTTATCTGTATTTGTCAATAATTTATCATTTTTGCATGATGAAAAATTATCTATTCTTTTTACAGCTTCCTAAGTACCCCAAAAAAAGTCTGTATCAAATTGACAACTACTAAAATATTGTTTACATCTTGAAGTGCTTTTAACTAACATACTTCCAAAAGAATTTCTATTCTCGAGAGGACTAGAAGAAGCACTCTATGATGTGAACAATATTTTGATAGTTGCCGAGCCTGATGTGAACATTCTGCACTATTGAATTATACCTTCAATTGTACAGAAAGCCTACAAGGCTAAATAATTAATTATGCATAGCAAGTGTCTGTGTCTAATTTTCTTATATTCGTTGACTTGTTTTATCACCAAAATTCATAAATGAATAACGCACAATGATTTAGTAAATCCAAATATATCTAAAAATAATTCATTGACGCAGTTTTTGAAGATATATTTGAGGACCATAATGTTATCCGTAAAGCCATAAAGCCATAAACTTGTAGACTAAACAATAGATGTTTTTGGAAGATTAGAACTCACTGAAAAACTATTAGTTTATTAAAAATAAAAATAAAATGATTGATCTTAAGGAAAAGAGATTAGTTATAAGGGGAAAAGATCCGATATAAAAACATGTTAAAATGATTGATCTTAAGGAAAAGAGATTAGTTATAAGGGGAAAAGATCCGATATAAAAACATGTAGGCTTGCATATGAGTGGTATCTCAGGCCCATTTACTGATTGCAATAGGTTGGTTTATCAAGTGTGAAAGTTTGGTTGCGAATGCCGGGCCTAAAGCAGAGCACTGCGATGGCATTGTGTATCGATCTTAATTTAGAGCAGATGCTCTTCTCTTTCTCTCTTTCAAGGCGCTTATATGCATTCTTTGAACATGGAAGCCTAAGCTAAGCAATGGACGCCATGGACTGGCTGTACTTCTCGTCTTCCTCCCTTCTCCGTTAGGGCAACCCTTCCTGAAGGCGTGTGCTCCCAAACTATTAACTCATGTCTTTCATGGCCTGCACTATGACTTCCTTTCTCAGAATACTACTCTAAAGAAAACATCATTACGGTGCGGATCAGTTATCTCACCAAACTTTCCACCACTTACGCTTTATCATTGTTTCCTGTGTGATTCATTAACCACTTCGTCATCTTCTCATTTATTTATTGCTTATAAAATATGATTTAACATCCTTTGTCTATCTTACCCTATTTATTGCAGTCCTCTTCAAAACAGTTACTTTCAGCTACCGCTTCATGTAAGACTGTCTGCAATTAATTACCAAAGCTTATGATAAATTAGGCTCATTAAGTAATTACCAAAAATTGACAAATCAGGTTCATTAAGCGTGCTCTAACGCTAAAGCTAGGAAGCAGCTAAGCTGTTAAACTTCTGCTACTAAATCATTCAATCTTTTATTCTTCACCCATTTTAACAAAATTTGATTTCACAAATTTTTGAGCGCTTTAAGGAAAGAAATGCTAACAATATTCAGCATAGTTTCGTCAATTCCGTTTCTATCAGTTACATTTATGGCAGATCACTGTATAGTATCAAATCGCGCACTATGAATCCTTATTATTCTAAATATTTTCAATCGAAATATTTTGAGAATAAGACTCCTACATATTGATTTTATGAAATGACATAACAGTTACCATTTTAGTAGCATAAAATGACTGTCGATTTTGAGAAATTACCGTTTTAAAATTGATTGCAGTATATGTGGCAGAAAACATGTCACTCATAAATCCTTCTGATCCTTCACCATTACTGAGCAAAATTAAGCAGCAATTTTTCAACAGAGAAATTCTGGTCTGTTACACGTGTTTACTTTCAATTTTTTTTTGAAACTCTTAAAGTTAAGCATTTAAACTATTTAAAAATATACAAATGAAAAAACAGTAAAAACAACAAGATCACAATCTTCTTTGGTTTAAATCAAATTCTCATCCATTTTACAAAACCTTTTTTTCGCAATTCTATAATCCTTCCACTTTGCCAAACTTGTTCACTGATTTCAGACTCCTCTCCCAATTTTCTTATCTGATAATTTGAGCATTCTTTCTTTTCTAGTATTTTCAGTTATTTTAGAAATAACATCCTAAAGTACTGAAGATATGAAATATATTCGTGATATTCAAAGGGTATATATTGAAGTGAGATGAAATGGAATGCCTTATAAAGTCATGCCTTTATTGCACTGATCAATGGGGTTGCGCAAATGAGGACTTTTTTGCGCTACATTAACTACAACGATTTCTTGAAGGACTATTGCAGAATCTTTTGTTTTACATTTCCTGTTCTTATTCAAATTCGATCTGTTGAGAGTGCAGCACAGGTATTCGTATCAAAGTGATGGAATCAATTTTGCATAAAAAAAAAGAAACACTGGATAAGTTGCATTCACACATCACCAACACATTTTAACAAAAGAGGAGTGACAATGTAGTATTGAAATTGAAATCGAATATAAAATGCTTTTATTGACTCGTATATTAGGCTGTCTTTTATAATTTATGAATATTACAAGATGTAGGAATAAATGGACATAAGAAATATTTTTGCACTGACTATTTTTGATCTACTCATAGACATGTGAGTAATGAATAAAATTAGAATTGTTTCAGATTATAAAAGTGAATAATATTGTACGATGATGAGATACTCTTGAGAGTCCGATGTTTCGAAATATCCTTGAGGGTCATTACATTCACTTGAAATTGCGGAGAATGCAATTTTGCATGTTGTCTTGCATGAGCGCGTATTTTTTTTTTTAAGTGAGACATTGCTAAACATATTACCAGTCAATTTAGTTGTTTGTTTTAATCCCGTACGCTGGCAGAAAGTATTTAGCATTCATACAAGCAGAATATTTCTGTAGATCTTGGCTACGGTTTGCTACATTGTAAACATTTCTTTAGTTCATTGTGAGATAATTTAATCACTATATGGCTATCTTGTCTACCTCAATCATCACCACATTCCAAAGGATCTTAAAAAATCTTACTCTTGGAAACTGACTGGAATATTTTTTTGCAAAACTTTCGAAATTGAGTAATGTGCGAAATTCCGAAATGCCTGTAAGAGAGTTTGAATTGCGTTGGACATTTATGATAACAGAAATTTTTTTCTCTCACTTTATAAGTGACTTCTTGGAGTAAGTAATTAATATTTCATGTACTTGAAATTTCTTCTCTTCTTTCTTTCGAAGACAAGGATTATAAAAGATTTTGCTTTTGGAAGAGATATTCTTGTTTAGTTAAACAATTTACTATTAACTATTTGTTACAGAATCTGGAAAAGTACTGAGAAATTTAAGTCATCGAAATCATTTTCTCTTCAAATATCCAAAAATAGGGTAGACAAAAAGTTTACGAGGAGTTAATGGTCCTCTGGATTATCAGCATCCTCGACGTACCAAACATCATAGGTGATTCAATCTTAAAGCTGATTAGACAGATGTTAAGCACTTTTCATTAGTACTACCAGTCATGTAATTCTATTTTTTATTGCTAACTCTCGTGAGTATCATTTAATTCTCATAGCCGTCTTTTCCTACGACGTAGTTCAATTCTTTTCATTTAATCCTTTGATGCTTGACATTCTTTGCAAATTTGAACTGGTTTCCGCTTTTTGATTAGATCGTTTGGAATTATTAATAGATCAGTTTACAGATACAAATGCTTGGAGCATCAAGTAGTGAAGAAGACGATGATGATAATTTAATCAATGATAACGATGACGCATTGGAAGTTTGCTTTTTTAGATGAAAATTAACATCCTTCATAGAGTAATTAGAAGCATTCATTGTATAGTTTAAGATTTTCAGTTCTTATAGATTTTGGTATTAAGAAAGAAATGGAAACATTTTCACTTGTAGATTCTTTGCCTTCGGCGTCATCAGTTTCCATTATCAAGTTCTCCACGTTCCATGTCTCCAGCTCCATCAGATTCTGCCTCACAAGCCAATTCGTTACATCGTGGCGATTCGTTACATATAAAAAGAAGAGACTCTGGAGCATCTTATGGTGCAGTGCTAATGAAAACGGTATCTCAGTTTTTAATATCTAGAAATCTAGTAACTTGTTTTATTATCTCAGCTTCTTACATCATTTTGGCATAGACAGTCATGCTCATTCTTGTTTTAGAGCCAAAGTAAGCAAGCAATCGGACAATCAGCCAGTTTTCAAAAAGTCTTTGCAGGAAATCTCTGATGATGAGGATGATTTTGCATCAAATGAGCAGAGCACGCCGGCGTATGCAGTTATTGATTCTGCTACCGAAATAAGCAAAGAAGAAGAAGAAAAAATGAAGTGAGCGTTTTATTTTGCTTTTCCTAGTCCATTCATTTATGAACAACGGTTTAAAATGTAGAAAAGATTAATGATTATAGCTTGATGACTTTTGATCAAAAATGATGTATTTTGAAGTATTGAGAAACAATTTCTCGTTTCAGCATGCCTTACATACTGAAAGTTTCTACTACACTGAAAGTTTTAATTTTTTTCGTTAAAATAATAGTATAATGACAATATACTGATTAAAGAAGCTTTCTTCAAAATTATAACCTCTCATAAATCAAGTACTTTATTATAGTATAAAAATGTCATTAATTTTCATACTTCTGAAAATTCAACGTTGTGTTTATTGATGACTTCAGTTTACTTTTGAGTTTGCATATTTTATGATCAGTGGATGTTTTCTTGGACGCTTAAAAATCAGTTATTGTAGAGCTGAAGTGGAAGAAGAGGAACGTAAACAAAAATTGAAACTATATGTTTTTGTTGCAAAATGTATTGCTTATCATTTCAATGCAAAACAACCCACCGATATGGCAAGACGGCAGCTCAAGGTTGTGTTTTTTTTTTTTACATTATAAGGTTATTTTGAAGTAGGAGTCTTGATTTTAACTTACTGCCAAAAATGAAGTGAAATTTCAATATCTTTAGCTCGCTGTTGCTATTCTGTTTTAGGTTACGAGGCAAGAACTGTCAAGGGTTAAAGATCGTTTTCGGTCATTTTTGACAGGCGAGACACAAATTGCAGCGGATGAAGCATTCACAAAAGCAGTTGAATTGTATTTCGAGGTTTAAGAAGATATTCTGCTCTCTAGACTATTTCAGTTTTTTTTTTCTAAATTGGACAGCCCTCATTTTCTGCATTTGATAAAAAATGTTCACAAATGAAAAGGAAAAAAGGTAAAATGAACAAACTTTATGAGTTTTTTCAGGTTTTTCTAAAGTCTGAACGAGTGCAAAAAGTTGTTCAAGCTGGCGGTTTTTCTCAATATGACTTCAGAGAGGTAAATTAGCTTTGTAGAAATTAAGTAAAGTTAAGCTACTTAATCAGTTACTACGTATAAATGATAAACTAGCTTGGTTTACATTTGCAGAAACTGCAGCGCAGTAGATTATTATGATCGTAGAGCACTACACTGAGTGAGGTATCTTTCCGGTTTTAATTTTACTTGATTTTTTTGACAGTAAATCTCAGCGTATCAGGTTTTTCGATGCAACATTGAAAAAAGAATTAAAACTTTAACGGAACTAGATGATGTATCAAAGGAAATGATGCTCAATAATTGGATGATCAAATTCGATACGATTATCCGTGGGGATGAGGATGCGATTCAATCAAGGCAAACAAGGTCAGTTTAGGTGCATCAGTTCTCATTTTCAGGTGGCTGATTTAATTTAAGGATGTTCGCTATCGTATTGCTTGGTGCTGTTTATAACCGAAATCAAAACTAGTTTTTGGCTTCTAAATCATTGAATGATCTGACTGAAATTTTCTAAAATTTAAGCATTGTATGATAAACGCAATAACATAATTTAGGAATCGCCTGCGTGGGATGAATCAATCCAATGCAGGTTTGACACTTCTCAAGGATCAACTGTATGATATTTTCCAACAGATTCTGTCTGTTAAGAAATTCGAACATCAGATAATATTCAATGCCTTGCAGGTAACTGGTTCAATTCGAAATCTTTTAGTCACGAAGGAGCAAAGCAACTCAGTGACAGCATTAAATTTTACATATTTTTACTAACTGTATCGTTACTGATTTTTTCAAAATATAAAAACGTGTTTCATGTGCTCAGCTGGACAATCCAGATGAGCAAGCAGCGGCTATTCGGCGCGAAGTTGCTACGAGAGAGGAAGCACTGAGAGATCTGTCAAAAGTAAGCATTGAACTTTATGCATGAAGAAGGAACATAGTAATAAGATAATGTTAATGAGGCAATAGGCGTGTTTTGTCTCTTTCTTATGTTCATCACTTCTACATTTAACCCATTTGTATTTTCTCGTCCATTATAAGACAGTCAGTTACTAGATAATATAAAGTTTGTACCAGAATACTCCTGATCTCTCTGTTTTAAAAATAACCCGTATGCTAGCCAGAACATGTTTAATTTCCTGAGTCTTTCAGAAAGTTGGACTGGAAGCATGGTATGTTTTTCTTTTGAAGGCTAATATATATTAAATAAACACTAAAATTTATTCCGTTATACAAAAAAAATTCTCATTCTTGAGGAAATCTAAGAAAATATTCTGTAGATGAAGAAATTGATGCCTAAATTTGTGGTGAAAGATATGGAAACTCTGTTTATTGACGAGACACGTCAGTCCATCAATCTGCTTATCAGTAATTTGGAATCAGTACCTGTTACTCCACGAGGTCAAGGCGTGATTTCAAGAAAGAAGGATTCCAAAGGAAGAAGCAGGTGGGGAATACACCTATTATTTTAACGATTGTTTTTATTATTCTTTTTCTCATTGCTTATATGTTATGAATGGTTCATAGAGCAGAGATTTTAATTTATGTTAGCGTAAATTTTTCATTAATATCATTTCAAGCTCTATTAGGTTTTCGTTTACAGCATAATATCGTTTGTAGCATAATATCATGCTTTATAATTTTTTTTTTAAATATTTGTCTTATATATGTTATTCATGTACGTCGTAAGTTTAGGTTTAATCTAAACTTAACACATTTGCCATTAAACATATTCGTTTTTCTAAAATTTGGAGGTGCCTTATCATTTCGTATCTTTAAATGCTCGAAGCTGTATTGCTAATTCCTTTACCTTAAGTGGAGCTTGTAGTAGTCTTTGCTTAAATTCGGTTTTATATAAGTCAAGCACTAGGAATACCTTTAGAGATAATCGAAATTTTTATTTTTAAGCTTAATAAAGCTTCAATTTTCAGTTCCTCTTCGAAAGCTAAAAGGTCGGTTTACTTTTGTTTTATCTTTTTAACATTCACCTAGCATCGATTTCTTTTTAAAGAACACGATTGACTGCGCGTCTTTAAAATACATTTTACTGCACTGATTCACATATCGCAAACATTAAATAATTCTAGTATCTTAATTTTTGAAAACGTCCTAAACCATATTTGAGAAGCAGCTAATTTACTGGTATTTGCTTATAAAGGCAGACGTTCAGTGATTTATTTTTTTCAAAATAATGGATTCTGGATTTATTCCATCAAGAAATTAATAGCTTGGAGTTTTCTGGCTTCCAAATGTTGTGCTGTGTTTCTTTATGTCCGTTTCTTCAATTATTTATTGGAATATCAGTTAGAAACATTAATATCACTATTTTAGATCGCGCAGCATCGAAGATCTTTCCCTTTTCAACAGGTTTGTATTCTTCATGATGCTTTATGTAGATTTAACGGTCGCAGTTAGTGTGACATGCATTTTCTCTCTTTTTGCTTTTCTGGTTTTTTGCTTTTTATACAATAAAATAATTTCGTATATATTTTTTCCTTGTTATGCTAAAATTCTTACTAATTGTTATATGAAAGGTAGTAAATAAGTTCAGAACAATGAAGGTCTTTTTCTACAATGTTAACTTTTCAACCGGGTATTTCTGATTTCGTCTAACATATTCCCGAATCAGCTGAAAAATTTCGAAGGAAATGATTGTCGAAAAGGCTTATTCTACATTAAATTATGAAACTAGAGCGTAGTATTAGCCACTGATGGTATTGTATAACAGCTTAGCAATTTTTTTTTCTTGTATATAGTTGCAGTCATAGAGATAGTAGCATTGAATGCTATGTATTAAGAATATGCATGTTAATTATATTCAAATTTTAGCAAAGACAAGTAAGTGTGTAATGCTGGTTATATCAGAGGCTTTGACATTAGTAAATAAATATAAAATCGTTTGGGTTATAAACTTTGTGGTAAATCAAAAAACAATCCTAACAGTTTGCTACTAGTATAAACATGCGTATACAAACGACTTGTTATAGAACCAAACTGACTTCACTGTATTTCCGTTAGGTGACATATCGATCACACTTGTTTATTTTCTTTAATAAAATTTTCGTGAAAAATTTGTTATGATCAGCTATATTACTACTACCTCTCGTTAAAGTTATACTTCCCCTTATAATTCATATTTTTGTCAGAGATGCATGATGTTTCTCATATTTCAGCTTTCTTCTGTTGAGCTCCAAACATTTTATAAAAGAGTGGAATAGAATGTTTTTTTTCTCCAATTTTGGTGGAACATGTATAGGTTGTTAGTCCAATATACAAAAACACGACTTTGAGCTTGTAATTGTTTACTATCTAATTTTGCTTAAAAGGCGTTGTAATTTGCTTTGTCTTCACTTTGTAACACATTCTATTTCCAAGGTACAGAAAACAATATTTAGCTTGAAACGACGTACCAGTTCAAGTTCATTGAATAAAGCTGACAGTGATGACGATGTGTCATTGACTAAAAGTGATGTCATCCTCACTTTCAATATAGAGGTGAATTTTTATGATGTTTCCGAATTTATTCACAATATGCCAAAAATTTGGTCCCATATCATGAATTATTCCAAGATTTGTACACTCTTTGCCTAGATTTAAGTTAAAAAACATGCATTCAGAGTTAGCTCGACATAATTTTTGTAGAAATGTCGTATATCATAACTGAATCCTCAAAGGAATTTTTTAGACATAATTTTTTACTAAGTTGTTGTAAATTTTACCTTTATATAAATTCCTGACATTCTATTTTTCGAAATTTAAAATTATCGTTTATAGGTAATCGTGATGGAAGTGCAAAATCTGAAGTCAGTCGCACCAAATAAATTTGTGTACTGTACTATGGAAGTTGACGGATGCCCTAAACTGCAAACTGATCATGCAGAAGCTTCAAAATCGTCGTATGCTTCCATAAATTTTCCTATTTTATATACTTTATGTTCAGGTAACAATCCTAATAATTTCGGGAAATTAAAAAAGGCTTGTAAACAACACCTTCATTATTTCTGTAATGAACCACCTGAAGTTTTTCAAAGCATTTTATTACATAATTGCCTTTAGTGTAACATGCGCGTATGTAGCAGATTAATTTAGGGAAATTCCAAAACCTTCTAGTCGTATTTACAGTCACTCCATCTGTAAATGCTGTCTGTTGAATAGCGGAACGCAGCTCCTTTAATACATATTTATGGTGAAAACCGTTCACTACGGGATAATTTCTCAATTATATGCATAATTAATTATATTTGTGTTGTAGTAATGTCTTAATCTTTGTGTTATTAATTTTCAGTTGGGATACACAGGGCGACTTTACGACGAAACACCCTCTTCCAACTGTGAAGGTGAAACTGTACACAGAATTGAAGAGTTTAGTTGCTTTCGAGGATAAAGAACTCGGAAAAGTAATTCTTATTTTGGTATTATAAACAACTCTTAAATCGGAAATTTCTACATTCTTGCAACACATAAAATATGAAAAAATATTTATGTTGGGAAAAAGTATAAAAAGCTTGCTTCGTTGCCATTTTAGGCTATTGTTAAACTCAATTTCACAATGATACGAGAGCTTCGACTGTCTCATAAGATTGTTTCCTTTGCAATACATTCCATCAACATTTTCTTTTAATGAGTTAAGAATAAGAAAGCAAATTAGGATATTAGAAAATTCTTTCTAAACACCAATTTTATTATAGTTCCCTTTCTCTTATGATAATAAAATGTTCCCATCTTATTTCAACTTATCTTTCATGTTTAGGTTGTCATCAGACCAACACCGAATTGTTCAAGGACACCTGAATGGTACAATATGACAGTGCCAAAGAACAGCTCCGATACAAATCTTAAAATCAGAATAGCTATTCGGGTTGAAAAACCTTCTAATTTGAAATACTGTGGGTATTGTTACGCTCTTGGAAGGATAGCATGGAAAAAATGGAAGAAGCGATTTTTTTGTTTAGTACAGGTAGACATATGTGGTCCGCTTATTTGTATTAATTCAATTTAGTCTGAAATGATGGAGATAAAAGGGTTCTGTCTTCCTGTTTTTTCGGAATGTCTCTCTTTAGCTTTATTCACAACTCTATATGTCTTATATATATATAAGACTTCAAGTTTCCATTAAAATTAAAAATTCTCATGTTTAGGTTTCGCAGTATGCATTTGCGATGTGTAGTTATCGTGAAAAGAAGACCGATCCAGCGGAATTTATTCAACTGGACGGATTTACAATAGACTACATGCCAGAACCAGATCCAGGTTTGTATTATCACAAAAGAATGGGAAAAGAAAATCAAAATTAATGCCATGGAAGCGTTTTATAATGTTTGTTGTTAGAATAAGCTTAACTTTTTATAATACTCAATAAAAAAGCATATTTGGATCTTGGTGCCAGTAAAAAAGCATATTTGGATCTTGGTGCCAGTTTACGTTCAGTCTGACAAAACTGGTAACAAGGTCCGGTGGTGATACCATTATGTTTTAAAAGAAGTCACACATTCAAATTTCTCAACATAAAAGGGAAGAAATATGGGCTTCCGCCTTTTTTTTCAATTTTCTTGTTTGACCTATGGTTTTACAAGAATATTTGACTAAATTAAAATTACATTATCGCCAGTATGTAAGTACTGATTGTTTTTCAGATCTATATAATCATGGTGGAAAATATTTTTTCACAGCAATCAAAGAAGGTGATGAACTGAAGTTTGCAACAGATGACGAAAATGAAAGGCATTTGTGGGTGCAGGTAAAAATTTTGTTCAAAATGAAGAGGAGAATTTTATTAATCAACCCGTTTTCTTAAACTAATTTAGAAAAGAGATATTTTTCCTAAATGATGAGTAATTTATTTTTGTTCATCAGAACAGGGACAATATTGTCACGGTAACTCCATATTGTCGGAGAAAATGAACTTCGCAGCTTGATTGACTTGCGCAAATTCTGCTTGTTAATAGTAGTCAATTTCTTTATCCGAACTTGAATATAAAAAAAATAAAATACTGAAATATAAAATTAAACTTAGCATGGTGGGTGTATGGCAAAATTAGTCTTAAATAGGTCAGTAAAATCATTTAGTTGTTTTTTACCGTACCATATGAGGACTTAAAGCCGGATATGTATACCAGAATGAAATCGACTGATAATAACTAGAGGCACTTAGTGTTAGTAAAGGCAATAAACATCAAAACCAAATATCGTAGTGAAGTAGAATCATCTGCTATTTTCAGTATAAACTTATGTTGCAATGGTAAGATGACTATGTGCATATGCACATAGTCATCTTACCATATACGTACCTGTATAAATATATTCTGAGAATCATTTATTACGTTTCCAAGTAGCACGTGGAGGCATTGGAAAATAAATAAAGAAAAAGACGAACTTATATAACTTGAAAAAAATAAATTAATTAAATAAAAAAATAAATAAATCTTTTGTCACTCGATTAATTACACATTAATGCAAGCATAACGCCTTCTCCAATCATCGTGATGAATAAGGAAAATATAATCAAATGATTACATTTTCAAAAAAATTGTTACAAATAACAGGTTATTATTTGTAACAGTTTTCATGGAGGTAGTCGAATGATAATTTTTATGATGAACCTTATATCCGTACTGTAAGACGGATGGTACATGAATGAACGGGCGGCCATAAGAAGACTTTTTGATTCTTGATACTATTATGAGAAATTATAACTGATGACAAGTGTTGTTGCTTGAGTGCGCACAGATTTTGACACCAGGTTTCTTTCGCCTGTTATGGAAAAAGAAGGGGTACAGTGAAATGGTTTGGAATGAATTGAGACTAAAATAAGGAAAGATCTGACTGGTATACTTTTTCAAATCTTCGCCTTGACTGTAAACATATAAGGACAATTAGGTAGTGGCAAGGAAATTGAGCCAATGATTAGAATGACGTAGTTACTTTCTCTAAAACAAAAAAAACGAACAACAATAATGATACCATCGAGATAAGATAGGGTATATTACCGGTTGAAAAATTTGGGTGTCGATGCCCTGTTCTTTAATTTTTTTGCAGTTAGTCAGTATCTTGTAGGAAGTGAGGAAGCATACAAACAAAGTACATTTTAAATGGTCTACAACAAGTGACTCCATTTAAATCGTTGATTTCGACTGTTTGCTTTTCCGCTGCATGAGAAATTTTCACTGATTTCTGTTCCATTTTGAAGTAGTCTAGCGATAAGTGAAGATATGTGAGATGAGGAATCATTTGACAAAGTGAAATGGGCATATTTTTTGTGGACAAGAATTATTTGAACAGTTATCGCAGTAGGTCAGGATCATACATCACTTGTCTTCGATTTTGAACAGACCCTTGGAACAGAGGTGCTAAGTATAGTCATTTTCAAAGGACTGAGGTGTAACTGAGACACCTGACAACCTTCAGTTTTTCTCTGTTTTTCTGAGTTAAGGGCATCTAATTGCAGAAATATTATAACGGTGAGCCAGCCTTCTGGCTATTAATAAGGAATTATGAAGTATGCGGTTATATTTGTCAACAGACTAGGAAGAGCGTCGAGCATTTATAGCAGCCAAGAAGCATACTGAAGATATTGTGTAGCGAACAAAGAAAACGCCAAAATTATATAATATCGAAAAAGATGAACTTTTCGTTAGTCCCTCAATAACATAATATTTTATTTGATTTTTGCGGTACTAAGTTTTCACACATACATAATATGCAGGCATTATACCGAGCAACGGGTCAAGCATATAAACCAGTACCTCCAAAGCAATCGTCAGTAGTACCGTCAAAAGCGCAGGGCTTTGCTGATAAAGCTAGTAAATATGGAATGGATGAGCTGATTCAAGCGGATCCGATCAATTTTGATCACGATCATCTTTTCAGTAAACTGCAGTCTCTTACTTTGGATTTTCGATTGAATGAACCTATATGCTCATTAGTAAGTCATTCTTATTAAATGATTAAGAACTATAGCAAATAAGTATTGCTGTTTAGGAACAGTGTTTTTTCCAAAACTGAGACGGTTACAATTATTTTTAGGGTTGGTTCTCACCTGGACAAGTATTTGTGTTAGACGAGTATTGCGCCCGTTACATGGTCCGCGGTTGCCATCGGCATGTTTCACTTCTCAATGACTTGCTCAATAAGGCCGATGAGGGCTTCCTTATTGATCCCACCCTTATGCATTATTCATTCGCTTTTTGCGCATCTCATGTTCATGGCAATAGGTATCAGTTTTATTGCTGCATATTGTTCGTATGTCTGGTAAGAAATAAATTCAGTTCACTGGCCAAAGCGTCTATCATATTTAAGTTTACATGTAATCTATGCTGCGAATCCTCAAAGGACGTCGTGCTTGTTTGTCTGGCAGAACGGATATGTCTGTTCTGAAAGAAAGCTATGATTTGGCATTTAATAAATATTCCAAACTGCCTAGATCTGAAACAACTAACATTTAGAAATACACCGTAGGTTTGCTGAAAACTTTTGGCAATATTTTCAGTGTTCATTGAATTATGCAATTGCAAACATTTTCATGCTATAGAAAAGTGTCTTTTCATTTAAATTATTCCACATATTTTGATTTTTAGGCCAGATGGAGTGGGAACGGTTACATTAGAAGAGAAGGAAAAATTTCAGGATGTTAAGGAAAGATTAAGAACGCTTCTTGAAAAGCAGATCACTAACTTCAGGTATAATTTCGCCCGACTTAGAATTTTCATGCACCAATTCATACATAGCATTACTATATCTATAAAAAAAAAATAATAAAGACTGGCTTGCTGTTGAATAGATGCAGCGTTTGCAGATATTGTTTTCCTTTTGGTCGACCTGAGGGAGCATTGAAAGGAACATTATCATTACTTGAAAGGGTTAGTATGGTCTTATTTCCGTTTTTGTTTTTTTGTTTATTCGACAGTATATATCGCTGTTTGATAGCTCTAAACATATTGTATAGGTCCTAATGAAGGACGTTGTTTCACCGGTGCCTCCAGAAGAAGTTCGGAACGTCATCCGGAAATGCCTTCAAGATGCAGCCTTAGTCAATTACACTCGAATCTGCAATGAAGCAAAGCTTGAGCGTGAGGTTTTACACCAAGGTCATTCCAACAAACAGTTATGCATTATGCATGCAGTGCTATTTTCAAGAGCATGCTTTAGTTGTTAATGCAGAAAATTTCAAAATATTTTAATGCGAAATTTACCGCGCCTTTTTTGGTGCAGTCGCAATTGTGATAAAATTTTTAGAGCGCATGGGTATGAATGTTAGTCCTCAGCAAAGAATTGAAGACATGATACGCGTCACGGAATTTTGCATTGATCTATTACGAGAAAACGAAGAGCATCATGGTGATGTATGTTATTTTGTTTAAAATTTTTTCCAAGTTACCTTAACTTTGGTGTTACTGTCTTAATACAAATTTTCAAAAGTACTATTTTGCTGCAGGCATTCACTTGGTTCAGTGATCTTCTTGCTGATCATTCAGAAATATTTTGGTCACTTTACTCGGTGGATTTGGATGCAGCATTAAATGTACAGCCTCCAGATTCGTGGGATTCATTTCCATTGTTCCAGCTACTGAATGATTTTTTGAGTAATAACTGTAAGTTGCAGTCTTTTAGAAAATGATTTCTTTTTTCAAAATAATATTAAAAAAACTGTTAATATGATTGACAATGGATTAACTACGAAGCCTGTGGATAGTTGATGTTGTGCAAACGGATCCACCGAGCAAATTTTATCTGCTGACTTTCCCTTTTAAAGTTTATTAGTTCTAATGATGCAAAAAAATGCTTGATAAACATCTGATCATCGTAGTCACTCTTTTCTTCACATCGAAATTTTTGCTTATTCTTATATTCAGATCAGCAATAGATTTACATCACTGTTAATCCAAATATAAAAAAGTTCATTATATATCAGTACCTCATTATATTTAGTCATAATATGCAGTAAGTTCAGTGAACTAAAGGGACAAATTCTGTATGTGCCACTATGTACAAAAAGCATTTTTCTTAGTAATATGGATTAACTGCCATCATAATCATCCGCAAAAAGCATATGTGAAAATCTTTTCACAATTCTTATTTCATACACTTTTTTGTTTATAGCTCATCTCAAGAATGGCATTTTTCATACAAAGTTGATCCAGCAATTCTCAGCGAAAGTAGTACGTTATGTCGATTTGATGGAGCAGTCAATAGCGCAATCTATTGAGAGAGGCTTCGCACGAGAACGATGGGAAGTACGCAAGTAAGCTTGCAATCTTTTGTTTAAGCAGACACATGTTTTATTTCTACTGATATAACTTCAATGTGACACGTATCAAATTTCTTGATGTGGCTTAATATCTATTAAACACTTCCAAATATCGTTTGATATGTTCGAAAATTTTCCAGAAACGGTTGTGCAACATCTGAAGATACTTATTGGAAACTGGATGCTTTGCAAATTTTCATACATGATTTGAATTGGCCAGAGGAAGAGTTTTCGAAGTATCTACAAATTAGAATGAAAGCGTTGGCGTGCGAAATGATCAACAAATGCACAAACTGGCATGTTTGAAACTGGATAAAAGGCAATTTGATTTTGATAGCCTGCTACATTAATCTGAATTTTTCAGTACTTACCAGTGTTTTGATTCGTACATGCAGCGCGCGCGAAAATCAACGGATTATGTTCTCCCTTCAGAAGTATGCGTTATGATCAACGTAATTTTCTCATCGAAATCTCGAGCGGCTAAAATGGCAATAGATTCGGGAGAAGTTTGTTTATCTATTTTAATCATCAAACAAGTTGAAATCGTCTGTTGAAGACAACATTGGCATGTTGTTCAATAGCAGAGTTAACAAAGCAACTCACAAATGTTTCTGCTACTTTTGTTTTATTTAAAAAAGAGTGTTAAAAGCATAAATTAAATCAATCAGTTTACACAGTTTATTCATCTGAGTAAGTCACATGCTTGCCCATCACTTACTGTTTTACTTACGAAAGTGGTGTATAGACTTTTTAGCTAATAAAGCGAGGCAAAAAGTTCTTTTTTCAAAGGTTTTGAATAACTGATGCTCTTTTTTCCTTTTTGCACTTTGAGAGATAAAAAATTTGTAACTATTTTGACTTTTATCTCAGTCTTTATTTTTAGTACAAGTACCAATCGAAACTGGATGAAACTTTGGATACTATGCTAAAAGATATGGAAACATGCATTGAAGACAAGGTACGATCTAAACTCATAACGTGAAGTATTCGCTAAATTTCAGGAGTACAGAAACTAACCAAACCAGCAAGTAGATTAAGAAACGATTTGATGAATAGCATTTTGAGCTCTTTCCGGACCCACATATAGCAGTAATCGATTGATTTACTAAACCGCGGAAGACTTAAATTGATGGTAGGATTCTGAATGTTGACGTTGTTCCATGAAATTCAATTTGATAAACAGAGGGAAGTTTTTTAAACTGAAGTGCAGCGTGATTGCTTCAGCTGTTGTCGGTTTTGGAATATGTTCTATCTCGATTAGCTCGTTATGACGAAGGAAATCCGATCGGCGCTATTCTCTCCATTGCGGTGTGTTTTAGCAATTCAATCTTATTAAAGCTCTTGTTCTGCAGAAATTTCGTAATAAATTTACATTTTTTCTGAGAATTATTTCAGCCGAAGCCAACAACTATCTTTAACAAAATGAAAAATATAGTTAGCGATCAAGGAATTGTTGGTAACTTGACGGGTAGTGCTGCATCATCACCACAAAACCCGGTATTTTTGTGAAATAGTATTTTATACGACTGCGAAATGATAAATTTTGAAATGCAAAAGTTTCCTTTGTTTATAAATGATAAACACTGATTTTTTTCAGAAACCGATTGTAAGTCAGCCACAGAACTCAGGTCATTATGGACATTCTTACGTAACTTTTATGCGGGTTTGTACGGAACAGTTGAGGCAGGTTGTAGTCGACGAGCTGTGGGTTAACGCTTTGTTTGAAGTTAGTTAATTCTTTAGATTTAAATTAGGGCAGTATGAGAAGAAAGTTCGATGCAAAAGGTAATGTTAAGCAGATACCTTATAGATATTGATTTGAGCAAGTAAATACCTTCTGATTGAAGGATTTTTGAAGATTATAATGAAAACATACTGTTTTATTTTTGCTAATCTACGGGTTGTGGAATTGAGAAGGAACCAAGTTTTTCAGTATGGATCTTGGTGGCTGGAATATTTTTTTTAGCACTGGTACGAGGGCCAAATGAAAATGCTTAATGACTGGCTGACCGAGAGGCTCCAGCAGTCCCTTTCTCAATATCAGTTAATGTGTCTTTCTTTCATGGTCAAGGTAAATTTGAGTATAGTTTCCGATTTTTTTTCTCTTTCCAGATTAATAGTTAATCTTTAATAGTGCACTCACTATTTTCGCAACAGATTAACCATTTTTAGTTTTATTTGGCGAGTGTATTGTCTACATGAAACTCATCACTAGGTATTGTAATTTTTAGAAAATATATTCCGATTCGGAGTTACAAGGTGTTGATGATGAACGACTCAACAGCAAAACATACCAGTCGATAATGAGAAGGCTACAAATTGAAGAGGCAAACTGTGCATTAAATGATAATGCCTCTGGGCATGCAAATACATCAATCAGCAATCACGCACTTATTGACAACGCCACTCAAGCAGTTACGAATGTTAGTAGTTTAGTGGAGGGTGCCAGTGCCAAAATGTTTTCTCTTTTCAAGTAAATTGGTTATGAATATATAAGTGGATTTGAATAACTCACTGAATTGGTGACGAGGCGGTTTGCTGGCTTTTTTCAATAGTTCTTCAGCTATGAACGGCACGAATAGAGTTGAACAGCATTCGTTGCTGGGAAACTCCTTGACCAATGAATAAGGATGGGACACATGGATTAAGGGGGTAATAAAACTAAAATACAGATATGAATTTCGGATGTTGTCAGCTCCCTCATTTATATGATTGAAACACTAGCATCATTAACTCAAGACAGCCTTTAGACTTAATCAGATTTCAAATCTACTCTGCCACATCAACCAAATATTGCTGCGCAAAAGTTCCTTCAAGAAACATGAAGTAATGAGTTCATATATGAAACACTTCTATACGGAAGGGAGCTCCATTTAAACTTGACACTCCCCTTTGAAACTAGTAAATTTCTTTTCACTGATTAAACACATCTCCCCCTCCTATAAATTATGAATTAGGATCCCTAAACTATGACAATTTCGACGATATTTCGCGTCCACTTTATTTCGCAGTAAATGTACATGAATGGTAGCGCAACAGCTAAATAAATATGTGAAAGATAAAACATGGAAATACAAATACCTAAAAGTTACAGAATTATCGAAGGATTTGATTTCAAGGTCAGAATCACCCAAGCAAAACTTGTAACAGTGACGAAACAAGTGATTCCTTGTGAAATGAAATAGTGTAAAAACATATAACGGGAACAATCTATAATTATAGACAGCTGGACCATAAGTAAAAACACCTTATCTCGGAAAGTATGATGATCATCTCAAACAACAAAGAATGTCAGAAACAGAAAATGGGAAATCCGAATTACGACAGAACACTGCTGAGGGCAGAGCATCAAATACAATCCGAGGATGAGACTGACGTCACCTCAACTTGTAAGAAAATAAGATTATGTGTCTTACATATCATACTAATTAAGTCAACCAAGTAAAATATCTTCAGCAAGAGAATCACTATCCGCAGAAACATCAGATTTACTACCACTTTTGTCTACCAAAACTATATAATCACCGCTTCGTATTTTTTGTCCGGGGGGTATGACGTTTACTTCTGGACTTCGACCACCTGAGCAGTGATTTGTGGCACTGAGGCATACTGTAACCCTGACAGTACGTACAGTCATAATCAGTACAATGTAGGCAAGGAAAAGTGAAACACAAACAACTGCAAAGAGCACTACTGGTGTGGAACAAATATAAATGAAGAAAGCAATAATGCAAGGAAAAATGAGGCGTCCGAGGGATATACCGATAGCATACAGCAGACTTAATGATAGGCGGCTTGATAATTCGTGTTCATCTAGCCAACAAAACAGGAAAGGCGACAACGGTCCCAAAGATAAGCCTGTAAATACTAAGTGCAAGGGTTGTCTTTCTAAAAGCAATTTTTTGCGATATGTTTTTAAAGTGGCACTTCATATCCCTTATGAAATGAAATACGATTTAGGTAATACAGAAATTTTGGGAATGAAACAAACCTAAAATAAACAATGTGCAAAGCATAACGGGAAGTGAACGCGCACTTGCAGCAACATATCCAGCGACTACTGCAGAGAAAAATACGAAATTTGACAAGCGATTGATATTAATAAATTTAGTCCTAAAGTATATAATTCAGGTTGTGACTAGAAATACAATAAAAACGATTTTATAAATACAGAGAAGTGACTAAAGACAACTTATCAAAATATGAACTTTAAAACTCACGTAAACATGAATAGCACTCTCGCTGTAACGATGCCAAGCCAGAAAATGGATGTAAGGAAAAGCCCATTTCGTTGAGAAAGGCTTAATTCCGGTCTGAATAAAGCATAGAAAGTCAAGCTTTCTCCAACAACGAGCTCGATACCACCCGTCAACAAAAAAAATATGACTGAATAAGCACGCCATGAAACTGCCATTTCCTTCCAATCCATAAATAAATTTGGAGTTTCTTGGAGCTAGGAAAAAATATCAGATCGCAGATTAAAAAGGAAATTTAAACTCTTAACCAGAAAACGCTATTTGTTTTCGGATATTGCTTTACATAGCTCGCAAAGAATTTACGCAAAGACACTAACTGAGAAGATTGCAAATCCACAATTATTTTTCTCTCCTCTTTCCTCTTTTAGCAAACAATTCAACTAAGCATAAGTCTTCAATAAATTTTCAGTAACAATTTACAAAGCTAGACTTCTGGTCTGATATCCCTAACCTGTTACTTGAAAACTTAGCAGATAAGACAAAGTTCATGACAAACACCAACAACATCATTATAAAACTTGCGGGAAATTTGCCAAATCCAACCTTTATGATTTGCAAACTGGATGCTGCGAAATAATTGCCGTTACAAACTACTGCAACGAAACATAATAAATGGCACAGACCCAAAAATGTTGCTACTACATACATCATATGAACATTTTGAAACGGGCCGAACTGAAAAACATAGAATATAAAAGAACCTTTCCCCAATAAATACGAGACAAAAGTGAACAGAAACGGGCTTACTTTCTGTTCCAAATTCTCCAATATCCAGAAACTATTGCGTGTTATGGTGCTAATATTCCAATTCAATCCCGAAAATGAGTACGATACATCATTGAACATGAAATTAACAGTAACGTTGTTCGGTTTTATCAATGAGGGAGGTGCAGACGTTGCGTTACTAATGACTGTCGTTTCGGTTTGATCCATACTTCTCCCAATTCCATTATCATTTTTTCCTAGATGAAGAAATGATGCAGTGGAAATACTAATATAAGCAGGACTTGTATTAGAATGCGAAACTTTGTTTTGATTTCGTTCACGTTCTCCAACACTGAAATGTCTAAACGACAGCTTCATTTACATTTTACTGGGCCACAATCAACACTGAAGTGCATATCCTTGCAGCATTTTAATGTACAGTCATTGAACCGCAAAGAAAATTTCAGTGAATGCAAACTACGATAACTTATGTTTCATTCCCTACTAAATTAACTGTAAATCCCAATAAGAAATTTAAGTCTAAATAATAAATTACCCGTTAACATGTAATGCACCGTTTGTGACCAAACTTTGTTCTTCCTCCCTCGATTTAACACGTCCTACAGCTTCTTTTCGTTTTTGCACATTTTCTTGAGTTTTAGGTTCTGCAACTGACTCAACCCCAACAACGTGATCAGGCCTTAAATAAATACGATTAAAACTACAATACAAATTAACAACATTCGTAAAAAACAGCAATGCGGCTAGCCAAATTCATTCTCATCTTCCCCATTCAAACAAATTTGGAGACAAGCAGCAACATCAACACCTTTTGAAATTTTTATGAAAGAATATAAAGGAGTTTTGGAACCATCTAACCCAATCTCTCGAGTGAGAAAAGAGTTTTTAGAAAAAATCATCCCATGTAAACTTGATGCTTAAGCTATGTAATTAAATATGTATAAAAATCTTCATAGAAAAACTGCCTCAAAGATTTTGAAGTGATTGATTCCAAAGCACTGGATTTGGCGAATATATCGTCGCCAGACTGCGCTGATAATAAATTCATTTTCCGCTTTATAAGCAAATGGTTGAGCACATTATGACCATCTGGCAATGTACTGAAATTTGAATACGGAACAGCAGCACCAGAAAGGATGAAAGTACTTAACAGTGACATTAGAAATATTCCAGCTGCAAAGAATGCATGCATAGCAAATACTGTTCGCGTTCCAAAATCACTCCCACACAAAATTATCAGACCACCTGAAGAGTGAAGGGGAGAGTGTATGATGAAAGTCTATAATCAAAGTAAGGTTTGGTTCTCGGACTATATGACTGTCGATTATCGAGTACATTCGATAACAGTTATAAAATAACCAAGCAAATAGTGCAGCACAAACCTCTAAAAATCATTCCATGGAAACACCCCGATATGAGCGAATACATGTAAACAATCAATGTAGTTTTAGAAGATCCTAACAATGCCGTAATCATGAGTGCACCAAATAATGAAAACAATAACAATAGTATTGGGTTCATCCATGCAAATAATCGACTTACTAAAATTATCAGGAAATAATTTATATTAAAAGAAAATTTGAAAGCAGAATTGTAGAAATTTATTTAGAAACTAACCAGAAATATGGAACTTCTTAATTTCAAAAAAAGTTACCAGCGGAACATCCTATGAGGAATCCAAAAGCTGTAATACACAAAGTAAATACGAAAAACAGTGAACTAGTAGCATGCGTGTTGACAATCATATTCGGTATGGTGATGCTCTGGATAGAAGTTGAAATACCCTGCAAAACATCACGGTCGATATCATCAAAATTATTTTAATTTAACATTATAGTTATGCAACAATAAGCTTATCAATTTTTTCGGCAGAACCGCAGCTGTAAAATGACATTTACAATCTCAAATAAAAACTAGAAGCATATACACACTTTTGTACAAAGACAGTAATTCCTCAAACTAATTTGTTACGAACGTTAGCGTTAATCTCCAAAAGTGAATTACCAATGCAATGAACGAAAGAGCAAGAAGCATATCCCGACATGTCATTTCACTGCTTTTTTGCTTCATAATCATTTGACGCTGTTGTGCATTTCCCAATAATCTCTGCTACAATGAAAAACTTGACGTATCAGTATCTCAGCATGGTCTATTTTGCGATCAGTTAGTGTACAAAATTTGAATCTCAAATTTATAATTTATAGAATGTTGGTAGTGGCAATCAACAACGTTTAAACTGTTGCACGTACCAGGTCTAATATGTAAATCAAGCGTTTTTCTTCTAGAAAAGAACACACCTTCACATAAACAACATTTGAATCATTTTCCTCATCTGTAGATGTGTAACTTTCATCGGTTTTAAAATTCCGAAAAATAAGTCCAAATGACATCTTTTTACTTCTTAAGTCTTTACGCTGAATTTCCAGACTTGATGTTAGGACTGAAAAAAGTGAACTAGAAAAGCGATCAAGAATGAAAATAAAGACAACTGCATTACACCGACCTTAACAAATGCTTCACATTTCACACTCATTATTCAAATATAAGTGAAAAAAAAAACAATTTTCAGTATTATTCATCTCTGTACTATACAAAACAAATTTCTGTACCATTGGTAGATTCATTTTATAAATTAATACGTTAAAACTTAATTGTAGTCGTCATCATAGCGTTGACGATAGAACATTTCTAGAAATATGATTCTAATATAACGAGATTATATGAAACAACTTACCGCCTAATTTAGAAAGGATCTCAGCTTCTTCATTTACAAGTAACATTGTAATTAAACAATAAGACCTACAATGAAGATTAAGATCAAATGAGATCACAAAAATGAGCAAAGAATCAGCAGAATAAATATTATGAATCATTGGAAAACCCAAAATACAAATTCAGATTCAAAACACACGGATAAGAACGCTCACCAAGATAAATACACATTCTTTTCAACAATAAGAGCAAGTGTTATAGCGTAATTATGTTTCTTAAAATCTGTTTGAACATCGCCGGAACTTCACCATTTACAGCAGCTAATGCGATAGCAAATGCAATGCCAACTGCCAAAAAACTTAAAACAAGTAATACAACTAGAACAGTTAATGTCAGAGTTATAATCAAAACAACGACATATATCATAGCAATTGCTATGCAGAGAGTACCGAGAATTACCAAATAAAGGCGTTTATCATTGTGTAGCGAAGAAATAAATACCTCAGCTCCACTGCCACGTATTTCCATGGAATACCGTCCCTTCAATGAAAAATTTTACAAACAGCTGTTGGGGTACCAAATAGCGCCATATTAGGAATGAAATGAACAAATAGTACGATACAATGTCTTCCGAACACTTCCACATTATTCGTGTTCTCACGCTTATCACTCTATAATTTAACAGATCCGCAAATGAATTCAGAAGAAATTGTTGTACCAATCGGTGTTCGATTGGTACAACAATCTCATAAACGTTGACTATGTGACACACCTCAAAATGTCCCCTTTTCTCGCTCTACACAACCACAATCGACTCTTGAAATTCAAGTATTGTGATAAAAAAAGTTGGCGAAGAGCCATGCGTTACCGTTTCTCACTGTTATAAGGATGGATGTAGCCGTAGAGAGGGTTATCGATCGAGAAGTGTAATACGAGACAGGAGGGAAGACGAGAGGACAGTTGTATGTTAATGTTGTGTTTATGGGCGATCGATGTGTCTGTGTGTATGTGTATGTGTGTATGTGTGTATGTGT